TTATTTATTATTATTATGGAAGATAGAAATGTGAACTAATTCACGTAGAATGATTGAATTGTTATGTCACATCCAAATAACTCAAGAAAGACCTCTACAACACATTGTTGCAGCAAGTATCAAAACACAATGGAGAGAGAAAGAGATATTGAATTCATTTAGAAATGCTGTTTTCTCTGTTACTGTCATTACATCAATCGTATCATTTCGTTTATCTTCGCAGTTAGAACAAAACGTGATTATCATAAACATTCCGTTTGTATCTTATAGTTCGTCAAATGAGAAAAAAAATGACAAAACTCATATTCTTTAAACACCAGTTTATGATTGCGCAGAAAAACGTTCAACGATAAGAAATCTGAATAAACGCTCCTCATATGGTCCAGAAATTCCAAACCATTGCTCCCGAATTATTATGTTTGCACAAGAAATACTTTTTTTGTTTGTTTATTATCTTAAAAATATAAGTCTAAAATAGAGGAGTGTAATTTATTAAATTTCATTCATTGCTAAGATTTGGAATAATTGAAATATGACACATAAATGTGAAAACGGGCTGTACTGCAATATGGTTCAGATATTCGTGAACTTGCGAATATTATTAGAATTTTAAAAGCATTTACTAACTGATGACTAAATATATTTACTAAAGTGATTAATACAAGGATTTAGAAAAGTATATCAATATTAACAAATTATTTGCATAAAAATTCGAGACAATATTTTTTTCATCATTTATTTTACAGAAAACAAATCTTAAATAGAGGCATACAATTTATCAAATTCTTACACTAAAATTATGATGAATTAATGTATGAAGAAAAAATGTGACACGCAGACTGTTATTTAATATGACTCAGATATCCCTGCACTTAGGAATATTATTAGAATTTTAAAAACAGAATTACGATGTATGCAATACCTGCTTAGTTAAAGGATTAATAAAATTACTTTATTAATCCTTTAGTCCAGTTAAAGGATTAGGGATTAATAAAATTACTTTAACATTAACAATTTGGCTAAAAATTCCATTCCAATAATTCTAAATTATTATATTATCCCAAGAACTATTTCTTTGTTTATCTTATTGAAAACAAAAATTTAGAATCAAGTCAAGTAATTTATTAAATTTCGATGCAAAAATTAGGATGGATTAAAGTAATATACATAAATGTAACATATAATCTGTTTTTAATATTACTGAAACTCCCTTAACTTACGAACTTTACTATGATTTTAAAATCAAAAACAATTAGGATGGATTAAAGTATTATACATAAATGTAACATATAATCTGTTTTTAATATTACTGAAACTCTCTTAACTTACGAACTTTACTATGATTTTAAAATCAAAAACAATTAGGATGGTTTAAAGTATTATACATAAATGTAACTTATAATCTGTTTTTAATATTACTCAAACTCCCCTAACTTACGAACATTACTATGATTTTAAAATCAAAATTGTTTTATATTTTCTACCTGAATAAGTAAATGCAAGCTATAACTAAATGCAAGCTATTTTAAATCCATATTATATAGTTATATCTGAATGTGACTCAGTTTGCTGTTTTAAATATTATCCCTGAACTTACGAACATTATTAGGATTTTAAAAGACAAATTGCGATATATTTACTGCATTATTAATACAAAAATGGCTCACAAATGAGTCGTTGTTAAATACAAGCTATTTTAAATTCATCCTATCCAGTTGTATCTCAATGTGACTCAGATTATTGCTTTAAATGTTATCCCCGAACATACGAGCATAATTATAATTTTTAAAAATAGAATTGTGATATATTTACTACCTGATTAATGCAATGATATCCAAAAGTCTATTAATATTGACAAATGTTTTGTTTAGAATTTCTAGGCCAAAGTTCCCAAATTATGGCTTTTTTTTTCAAGAAATAAATTGTTTAGTTCTTTTTTTAAACACGAATTTAGAATAGAAGCATGTAATTTAATGTAATTTCAATTCATAAATTTGTATGCAATAAAGTATGGTACATAATTATAACCCCTGCGCATGCCTAAATGTGATCCAGGGAACAGTTTCAAATATTACCCTTGTACTTACCAAAGTATTAACTGGATCGTAAAAAAAGGAACTGTGATATATTTACCTCATAATAAAAAAGGATACATAAAAATACATTAATATTAATAGAATAATTAGCTTAAACATTCCTTGCGTCAACGTTCCTAAATTATTATATTTTCACGCGAAATACATTGTCTATTTTTTTTGTATTTTTTTTGTATTTTACTGAAATTCATTAAAATTATTAGAATGGATTAGCATAAAAAGTTGCACATAAATGTGACTCACGGTTCGTGCTTAGATATAGAATAATGTACAATTTTATAAATTATTTGTCGTTTCATCGTTTCATTCCATCGCTTTACATCGCTTCATTCTAGTTTACTTCATCAAGAATTCATCCATCTTATTCCAAATAAGAAGTCTAATTTTGATTTAAACTTAGTATTGTAGTAACTGCCGAAATTGCTCAATATCTTAAAGTCTGTAATTTATAAAGGTTACATTAAGTTAAATATTAAACTTTTTAATTATAAACATTTTTGTTCGTTCATATTGTGTGTTTGTGAACTTGATATTTCAGAAAAATAAGCAAATGGTTGTTAAAAATTGTTAAAAATGGAAGTGAAATTGTATTTTTTTAAGTCATTTATTTTCTAAGGTTTGAAATATCTCTTAAGTCGGTCCTTATCCGCCTTTTCAAATTATCTTAATTAAATATGTTAATACAGAATATCCAATGCGAATAAATTAAAAATGAGAACGTCTAAATAACTTTTGATCTCGTGATCGGATTTTTATGAACTAAGATGCAATCTCATTGGTATCGGCGAATCACCATAAATATGCTACTTAATTTGTACAAACGATATTTTAATTAACAAAATCAGACATAAAAACAAACTTTATGAACATATTTATTTTGATGGAAATAAATAAGTATAATTAAGTCTGCGCTTTGCAATACAGCGACCCAACCATTATAACGACCGATCTATAAAATACTGTTTGATATTTCATTGATTCAATGCTATTTTAGTACCCATTGTAACGTGTAATCTGCAACATTCATTTCAATATTACGACCGAAATTGACTTTTTTTCATGAAAATGACTTTGGAAACAACGTCAAAACAAAAGAACTTCTGCTTACAATGAATCAATTGTAAGTAAAACTTACGGAAAAATGATTTAAAACACAAATTATTTTAATGTTTTAGCGCATGAAACATGATACATCTCAAGTTTCAATTGAAGGAACGAAGATACATGACTTTCTAAATTCTATTATTTGGTGGCTATCGGCGTAGCCTTTGGTTTGTTTAAACATTTTGTGAAATATAAGTAATTAATTTATATTATTGGCAATAAAAAGTGATTATTGATAATAGTTTTGTCAAAAATAAGCCTGTATTCATACCAGCTAACTTTTGCTCTGTACAAGCATCATTTTCCCCAAATGGCAGTAAAGTGAGTTTATATTTAGGAAAAACTCGAACACAACATTTCATGATTATCGTTTATTAATATGCATGTATAATTTATTTCAATAAAGTGGGGATCAAAATTATTCTTAATTAAATTTTTAAATACAAGTTTGAAATAAAAAATTATACACTTTGCTATCTCTTTAAATATAATAATGAAATATTCTTAAAAAACAGGAAGAATTAACAGCTATGCAGTATAAGTAGATATTTGAGATAATTTTCTTCACAATATAGAGACCACACGGTACAACGTTTATTTTTGTTTAGACTGTATGAGTCGTTATATTCAGCAACAATTGTTATTATTTTTTAAAAAAATCGAGTAACACGGGAAGATCTAATGTGAAATGCTATGCTTTTCTCATACGGTGATTCTGACTGACTAATCTTAATTTTTCTATAAGAAATTTTTTTTTAAAAACCGAAGTTAAATTTAATTCTAAGGTCGTAATCAAGATATGGGCAGGACATGGACAACCATACCCGGGTCCCGGATTTTAGGGGGACGAGTTAAAATTCCTTACAAGAGAAATGCTTTTTAATTTCTTTTATTGCTTATGCTTTCTTTTATTTATATTTATTTTATATTTATAAATGCGTACAATGTTTCATATATTCAGTAAAACTTTTCAGATTTTGTACAGATTAAAAAAAACACAAACATTTACTTTTTGTTAAAATGTGATAAAAAAAATGGAAATTATTATTTTAGAATGTTAATGAAATTTGATATTGCAAGAAAAGGAAAACCAATAGTCATTTTTTGAATAATCTTCATGAAAAAACTTACAAAGTATGAAAATTAGACTTTTGCTTTTTGAGAAATGGGCCCCTCAACGAGTTTTCTCCTGGAGCCTGTTAATTTCGTATCCAGTCTTGTTTATTACGGCTAACATTCCCGAACAAATCGAAACCAGATAGCATCAAAAAGGATGACCCTTTCCCATCAGCAAGAACGTGATGAAAAGCCGTGACCATTCAAACTGAAATTAGAGACCCTCAAACTGACCACCGCACTAACTCAATCTCTTCTTCCCACACAAATCTCCAGCATTGCCTCATCGAAGAAATCCTCATCACTCAATCCATCTCAAGAAAAACCCTAGATGACCCGAAAGCACTTTCATTCGATATTTTCACTTTCTTTCCAAGGCTGAGAAAAAGATAAATGTGACCTCGGCATTATTAATTTTCAATTCATATTTTGGACAGGGGTGACACCCCTTTAAGCCCCAAAAGTGGCTACATTTTGTAACATCTCATCCGAGTGCCGCCTCCCCAACGGACAAGGGCAGTGCACGGTCAACAGAATCAAAGGTTCTGTCCTCAATCCCTAAAGAAATCAGAACGGTTTGACTGGTTTATGTTTCATTGGCTAGTCGACGCCCATCAAACCATTAAAAGTAAAAACTTCTTTTTTAAAATGATTATTAAAATTATCTGTTTTATTTATGCGTTTTTTTTATTAGCTTAACCATATGTACGCCCTCGTGTGTGGTATAAATATGTGTGCGGACAGAAGGAGAATTCATATTCATTCGACACATTGGAATAATTTCTCCTTACCTCCAAAGGAACTAAAATAAGCCAACATGAAAGTGGTAAGTAGTCAATAAGTTCATACCTTTGAAGTTTAGCTTGTTTTTACACTATAAAAGCTACCTTCTTTTCTATGAGATTTTTTAAGTTAATTATTGACCGATTTTTAAGTTCTTATTGTAAAAATGTACAAAAAGAAAAAACATCCGAAATCCAAAAAAAAAAAATGTAACATTTTTATAAATATGCTTGTATTAAAAATATTAAAAACACTAAATTTAAAATATTTACATTCTCATTCTCTATAGGAATTGTGAAGCTATTTATAGGCATATTTTTAATTTCTAACAACTAAATTTATTAACAACAACAAAAAAATGAAAATATTTCAAATAAACTCAGATTGTTTAAAAAATATTTAACGTTTTTTTCTCTCGATAAGGTTTTTGAAGAACTTGTAGGCAAGTTTTGCTGTAAGCAAAGTTTAATATTGACAACAAAAAAAAGGTGATATCTCAAAAGAAAAAAAAAGTGTTTCAATAAGTTGATTGGCATAAAATAGCTAGCATTAAATGTAAAATATTTACTTTTTTTCTCTGTAATATTTTAATGCTTTTTCTAGATAGACATTTAAGTTATAACAACAAAATTTAATGTTAACAAAAAATTAATAAATGACAAGGGGAAAAAACGAAGTTTAAAATTCCTAAAGTAATTTTAAATGTTTCAATAAGCAGGATTGTACTAAAAGTAGTTAAAACATCAAATTTCTATAAAAATTAACAAAATGCTGTCAAATACTGTTTAATATTTAATACGAAAAAATTGAATTCATCTAATAATTAGAAACATTCTTTATTTGTAAGACTTGAAAGCATAAAAACCGTATCTTTGGTTTTTTGTTTTACGACGGAATTTGAAATTTTCCTACTATTTACTTTTAATTCTCTTTTATAAGTAAACTGCTTAAAGTAATTTATAAACTGCAGAAAACTAGTTTTTACTTTGTTTCTCATATTTAAAAGATGAAAACTATAATATGTATAAAAACATTTAATAATAATCAAAATACCAAATACAATTATGTCCTAAATATCGATGTACTGCAATGAATTTTTTGAGAAGTGTTTTGATTCTGTAAGCAGAAGTATTTTTTACCTAATTGTTTCGTTCAAAATGTATTACACAGTTAGAAATGAAAATGTTAATCCCTTCATTACAATTGTGATTACGCTTATAGTATCAAACTCATAATTTTATCTACCCTTTATTTTATATAAAAGTCAATATTCATCGTAATTAGTATTTTTCTACTTGTATAAATATTTAGATTAAAACAATTAATTGATAAATTAGTATTAACAGTTCTTTATTTGAATAATTCAGTTGTATTTTAAGTACTGAACATTTTACTCTTACGTTTCCTTCAATTTAAAATAATAATAATATTTAACAATTTTTTTAAGAGAATTTATAAAATATCAGTGATTAAAGATACAAAACAAATGAATTATTTATTATGTATAAGTATACGTAATATATTTTTATAAATACATATATTTTTTATTTATATGGATAATTTTTTCTTTTTTTTATGAATACGCATTTTTTTATTTTGTTTGAATGCATAGTTTATTTAATTTTGATATAAGTGCATCTGTAGTAATCTTATTTGTAAATAAAAAATTTTAAATTCTCTCTTCTAATTTGTTCAAAATGTATAAGAATGTATAAGTAAGAATTTATAAGTGCATGAATGTATAAGAATATATAAATTTTAAAAAAAATTCCCAACCAGGGTGCAAATGACTAATTTCAAAACTGATTCGATGGTCTCAACACTAAAACATTCAATTTGATCTAACTAGTTAAAATAAAGCATACAATTTTCATATAAACGAGAGAAATTAATTTTAATACTAAATAATACTTGATACAAGAAAAAAACTTGAAATAAATAAAACCCTAATTATTTTTAAATTCAATATTTGTGAATTATAAAGTTTTAAAATATCCTAAATAATCTATTTTGCTTCTATGGTCAAAGGGTTTTAAATTATGAAGTAACATAAATACAAAAAATAAATCAAACTGATTTAACAGAACGGAATTTATAAGAATTATTTTGATTTTGCAGCTGATCCTTGCAGTAACCCTCTTCGCAGTGGCCTTCGCTGACGACATGGAGGTCGCAGAATCTTACCCAGTCGCCACTTACCACCAAGGACCATCACATGCCGCTTCCTCTGCCGGACACGCATACGGAGCCCATGGACAACACAGCGCCGGATATGGAGCACATGGAGCATCACACTATGGTGACCACGGAAGATACGCCGATGCCGCACACGCTGCTCATGGACACCACAATGCTGGCGCATACGCTTCTCATGATGCTCAAGGAGCTCAAGCTGCTCACTATGGCAAATACAGAAACGTTGGAGCTTACGCCTCAGACAAGGTACATTTCTTTCAACTCGTTGAGCTGTAAAACACAATCGTTAACGTCTGAAATTTTTTAAAAAAATATGTATAGGATAAATTCATTTATCCTCTGTGACGGCTTGAAAACCACCCAGCTTTATCAGTTTGTCTGGGAAGTAAGGGCGGATTGTACGCAATGTTGACCACCTCACAATAATCATGCCGTTAGTCACATAAATGTGGAATCTTAAACTCCATGAACTCACCCGGCCCCAAACGGGATGTAGTAGGAAGAGTTTTTTATTGAATTCTATCTTTTTTTTCTTCTTTTTAATTACAGTTGCTTAACGCGGATATTTCACTGTTCTGAATATGGATCAACAAACGATTTTAAACCAAATACTTTTTCTTTAATTTTATAGCTAAAGTTTTCATAAATTAACTTCAACTTAGTTAGATATATTTATTTGAAAAAGAACTAAATCGTTTTTTTTTTTCTGAGTATTTTTAAACCAATTTCAAATTCCAGTAAACATTAAAATCATTACAAAATATCATGATTTTTTTCATAATCAAATTGTTACAGATCCTGATCATGTCTATTTCTAAAATGCTTATGGCCGTCTCAAATTTCTCTCATTTTTTTGTTTCACTGATAATTTTAAATAATAATAATAATTAAAAAAAAAGAATTGTAACATAAAAAAATTTTTCATTAGAATCTCTAAAATATGTCACATAAAAACTAAGCTTCAAATATTTTAAAAAAGATCAAAATTACAAACAAAACATGTTTTTCTCGCTGAGCATTTATTTTCTTAGACCGCTTTTGATTCTTTGTTTTGAAAAAGATATTTACGTATAAACATAGATGAGGCTATAAAATCTGTATTATTTTTAATGGTGCACCAAGGATTCTTAAAGTTAAAATAAATCCGTAAAATTCTGGTATTTGCACATATACCCTATCTGAAGCGTTTGATACAAAAACGGAGCCCGCAAAGTTTTATGACTACGCACTTTAAATTTGTTTATAGTATCTGCATCTGCAATTAAAGCAGAACATAACAAAAAAATGTTTCCGGGAGTCATTAAGAAAAGTTATAAGCTTACGAAAAACAAAAAAATTTTAAGGATAATTAACTAATAAAACCCCATTTCAGGGTACCGGATATGAAAAGGCATACGCTTACGACAAGCAAGCTGGACACCATGGAGTCGTTGCTGACCACGGTGCACACCAAGCTAGCTATGGAACCCATGGCAGACAAGCACACCACAATGTTGGAGCCCACGGTAGCGCTGGACATGCCCGTTATGGTGCCCATGACAGATATGGTGCTCAAGCTCATGGAGTTCAAGCTCATGATAGCTCTGCTTATGGCCGATACGGAAGTGCCCACGCTCAAATGGTTCACGCTGCTCCAGCAGTCCACCACACTTATGCCGCCCCAGCTCCAGTAGCTCATCACGGATACGCTCCAGCTCCAGTAGCTCATCACGGATACGCTCCAGCACCTGTAGCTCATCACGGATATGCTCCAGCTCCAGTACACGCCAGATACTAAATATAAGGTATGAAATTCATGGTTGGAATTTAAAACTCATTTCTAAAGCTAAATTCACTTAAATCGAATGTTCAATTTTTATCAATTCATTACTTTTAATATGGTTGACAAACGATAAATTTTAAATTATTTAATTTGCATTAGATATGTTTTTAAGAAGTATAATATTAAGTTATTCATAATTTTATTAAAAGATTTCTCCGAAATAATACAAATTTATATTTTTGTATCAACTAAAAAATCATCAAAAATATTGAATGGGAGTCATTAGAAAGAAATAAAAAAATTTTAAAACTTTTGTACCTCATGATAATAAAAGATCTAGTTCTCTGACAACGAAATTATACTTTACCATAACCATACTAGCAAAAGTATTATTGCCATGATATAAATTTTATTTCCAGTGCAATAATATGCATAGACTAATTTTTAACAGCTGTATGGTACAACTTGACACTTAAATATAAGTTGCAACAAGATATAGTTGTTCGACATGCATATGTATATTTTATCAGCGTTCCTGTAGCTCATGGATACCATCCTGTAAACGCGTAATTATAAATTCACCTTAGACTCCATATTAATATTATAATTTTTTGTTTAATAATGTAAGATATAAAGCAAAAATAAGATTTTATTTTCTTTTGAAATTAAATAGAGTTTATGGAATTAGTACAGGATGTCCTAAAAGTAGCCGACGATTTAAAATATCAAAGAAAAATGGGAGAAGATAGAATTGTGCGGTTTACTGCATTCTACCTAGAAAGAGATTTATTTGCTATCACTAAGTTTCAAAATTAGTCACTAAGTAAGAAAAACAAATGATGCTGCTGGCTAGAAAAACGATTTAAATATGTTTTTTACTGAATGAAACGATATATGTTAATTTCATATACGTTGTTGTAGCAAATAGTGATTAATTCGAAAACTTTGTTTAATATTTTTTATCGGTTAACAACGCCACCTGCTGACGAATTTGTAATTAATTTTTAATCTTTGTAGGGATAAGGTTTTGGTTTCCTATCAACCACAAACTTCTATCGTCTTTCGTTTTGGTTTCAGTAATTCTTTGAACCGTCAGTCATTTTGGGGGCGCTCGGTAGATTATTACATATTATACACATGAAACAATCATGCAATGCTTTTTAAAATTTGGAATTTACATAAAATTAGTGACATAAAATTTCTTTTTCCAAATATTTTACTTTAATCGATATTTTTTCTTCTGATTTACAGGAATTGGTGACAAACTGAAGAATTGAAATGTGGGGACGTCTCGGTGTTCATTCTTCGTCTTAGAAGATTGCACAATTGACGATGACCGCATTGTTATTAAGGATGCATCAAATAATCCATCTCAGAATATTTGAAAACTCCACTAATTTATTATGTGTGTAATTTCTGTTGAATCATTAAATTTGATCTAAAAAAATTAGCTTGAGTGTGTAGTCTATCACTTAGTACATCGTTTTTCGTAGCATTTGTTTATCTTAAATTTCATTTAAAAAAAATAATAATAACAGTTTCAATTACAACCAATTATTGTTTCGTATTTTATTTTTAATTTGCTATACTGCATGAATCTAAGCGTTCTTTTTTTAAACATAATAAATTTTCTGACAAAATTAGATTAACGTAACTATAAATGAATTTATTAAAATTCATATAACATTTCAAAACATGCACCCCCCAAAACAAATTAAGATACATCTTTATGATTACCCATAACATAATGCATTTATTTATACCATAACATGCACTCATAACATATAGTTTTACAATTGAAGAGGTTTGGGCAATATAATGATAATCCACACTATCAAATACTCCAGAAAAGTGTTTTCAATTTGAATCTCTCTATCTATACTTGCTCTTATCAAGAGGAAACTATAGAAACTTTTAAAATATCTATCTGGAAACAATAACAGGTACAATAACAGTTTTAAGTAACAGCTAGTGTAAATATTTCCCCTATGAAAAATGTATAACTAGAAACTTTACACCTTCGAAATTGTATTAAAAAACTGCAGTAAAAATTTCAATATTCAGATCTTAACTTTTATTAATAAATAAAATTTGCGCAAAACACCAGCAACAGCATTATATAGACAGCATTAACATAATATAAACAGCATTATTTACAGCAGTGCTCCCCGACTTTTTTATTTCCGTGGACAATTTAAATATGTCTCAAAAACAAAATGCAACTACAATCGGCTCAGGTGATAGAGCGTTAGCATTCCAATTAGATGAACCGGGTTCGAATCCCAACGATGGCTGGTCGATACGAATTCCGCATCCGGCTCACACCGACCAAAACGCTGACATAAAATATCATCAGTGGTAGACGGGTCATCGGTTAAAGTCTCCTTGCCGTCAAGCTAACCATGGAAGGTTTTTATGGTTTTCCTCTCCATGTAGCAAGAATGCGAGTTAGTTCCATCTAGAAGTCCTCCACGAAGACAAATTTCTCCCAATACTTGATACAGGAGTTCCCTTGTCTTCTGGATAGGGTTCAAAATTACAAAACAACGAAGTTGAACATTAGCAGTCGCAAACTGGGTCGGCTGTTCAACGACGGTTATAAAATAAAATTATGTGGTGGCTCAGATGATAGAATGTTTGTCTTCCAATGAGGTGAACCAGGTTCGAATCCTAGAGATAGTTGGTCGGTGCGTACTCCGCACCCGGCTTGCACCGACCACATTGCTGACGTAAAATATCCTCATTGGTAGACGGATCATGGATTAGAGTCCCCTTGCCGCCATGTTAGCCGTGGAAGGTTTTCCTCTCCATCTAAAGCAAATGCGGATTAGTTCCAACAAAAAGTCCTCCATGTAGGCAAATTTCTCCCAATACTTGCTCCAGGAATTCTCTTGTCTTCTGGATTGTGTTAAAAATTACAAGGCTACAGAGTTGAAAATTAGTAGTAAACCCAAAATTGGGTCGGCTGTTCAACGATGGTTAAAAAATAAAATTACATTCGAGGTATTGGTATGCTTAAAGTGACATCTCTCGTCTCCGAGTTATCCTCTCGTCAATAGAAAGTCACATAAAACAAAGAGAAATACACCACAGTAATTACAATGAAAATAATTTAATGTTTCTTTTGTGCCCTGGTACCATTTGATTTACGGACCGGTCCGTACCTCGGGAGTTGAGAACCATTAACTTAGAACTTTCCTTTAAAAAGTACAAAAACTTAGAAAATTGCAAGAAACTTTTTAAATTTTCGCGATATTTAAACTGGACTTATTTCATTATTTACTAAATGCGATTCACTACACAATTATGAAAAAGATCTTTTAAATATTATCTGTGCATGCGCAATGAACTGTTCCAATTACTCATATGTTATGCAATTTTTCAACGAATTTTTTTCAAACGTTTAAATAATAATTTGGTATTTGATTTAAAATTGCTCCATAAATTTTGTTTGATTTTTTTTATTATTTCTAAAGTTATAGCAAAATAACATAAAACAAAAAGATTAGTTTTTTATGAAAATTTCCATATCTCCAAAAATATTTAAGCCAGATTTACAAAATTTTATGTAATCATTTTAAATAACAATTTAAGAAATTGATACAAGTTAAAAACCTTTTGTTATATTTCCTGTCATAAAGTGTTTAAAAAAAAGTCCCTCTATCATTGTTATAAGGTAGTATATATTCGATTAAAACATTCAATTTTTGATATCACAAAGCTTTTTGTTCCTTCACTGAATTCATTACGTTTTCGCTTCACTGTTTTACGATTGAACATTTTAAAAGATGTATATATACGTTATCTAAAATGAATTAATTTATTAAAATATTTGAAATATTGCAATATTTGAAAAAATTTAAAATAAAAACAAAAAACAAGAATATCAAAATGCAAGATAGCTAACATACAAACTTTTATTTGCATCATTTAATATTATAAAAATAATTATCAAAACATATCGAAAATTGAAAAACATTTTTATTACATCTGAATATACAATTTTAAAATGGACGGATAACATAGTTAAAAGAAAACTATAACACCAGGATGAACATACACTGAAAAATTTCATTAAATATAACAAATAAGAGAATTTAATTGAAATATTAATTGCAGAAACATTCTTGAAAATTTTAAAACAGACATTAAAACGTCTAAAAAATCAACAAATGTTTAACAAAAAATTAAAATGCAGAACCTCAAAAAATATCAAAATGCGATTACTACTCAAAGGAAAAACATTTATTGGATTTATTTGTATCATCACAATATTGTAAAATTTAATAGTAAAATATTTTATATAAAGCTGATATATGATTTTATTACAGCATAAATATAACATCTGAATATACGGTTTTTCAATGGACGGACAAGATAGATTAACACAACAAATTCTAACACCAGGCAGAACTATAATACAAAATAAACAGTAAAATATGTAAACGAAACAAAATATTTCCAGACTAAGGTGCTGCTCAAAGATTATGTAAGCATATATTGGGGAATTTCGGACTCCCTCTGAAGGTAATAATCCAGTTTTAGGATTAAAGTATTAAAAAATTACGCAACTTTGCATTAAATAAAGCTTACATTTTAATTCATCTTACAAAATTCTAACCAGAATATTTAAGAAACTTCTACGTTTAAAACTCCTCTCTGAACGTCTTATAAAAAAAAAAACATTTTCATTTCTCAAAATCAGATATTATTCCACATTTTAAATTTTTTGATGTGTAATTTTCTTCGTTAAATTTTTCATTTTACTTTCTATGAAAATTTTGAAAATAAGGAAATTTTTTATGTCTTATTTAAATATTCCTCACACCCCCTCCTCCCCCATTGTCAGCAAAAAAAAAAAAAAAATCACAAACCCCCTCCTAGGTGCTTACATAATATTTGGATGGCCCCCTATTTTGAGATTAAAATTCCAAAAAAAAAGGAGAAAAGGAAAAATTTTGAGATAATTTTTCCTTTTAGTTAATAAACAATTTGAACAAGCAAGATTTCAAATGAAGGCATTTTAATGTCTAAAATTAATCACAGTCTGAAATCATAATTAATTTTACCAAAATTGTATATTGTAATTATTGACCCATACAACAATACAAAAACTTGACAGTATAGCTATAATACAAAACTTGACCTTGAAGGCAATATTGTCAGAATATTCACTATTGTTTAGGGCAAATTAAATCGGAGAATAGAATGACCACAAACACTCAGGAAAGAAATACCCTGATTTTTCCAGACAGATTTCATCAAATTTCCCTGGCTAGTAATCTCTGTGGCATAAATTTTATTATTTATTTTACAGTTATGTATAGTTTTATACATACATATTACAAAACATTTATACTTGCTATTAAAGTTTAAAATAAAAAATTTAAAAAAAATTATAACAAGATCGACTTTTCTCGGAAAAATAAGTACGTCGAACCGAAATTAATTAATTTCCCCTCGGGTTACGGGAATTTTAATTAAATCTCCTGAAATGTGCCTGATTTTCCCCCATTGATAAAAGTTCCTAACTTTTCTGTTGCCACCTTGGAGAAGTTCAAAAATTCAAGAATATTAAATATTGCAATGTATGTTTTAACAACTAACAATAGTAAAGTTTTATGAAACAAATGTAAAGGGAACAACTGTTTTTAAAAAACAATTTTTACTTTTAGTAATATTTTTTTTAAAAAACCATAGCTAAATAAATCTGGTTTAGTTTAAATAAAATGCTATCTTTTTCAGCTTCAACTAACATTAAATGGCATCACTTGCTAATGTAAGTCAGTTTCTAAAGTCTAAGCAATACAAATTTAATAATAAAACTTCAAAATCCTATAAAATTTAAAATTTTTTTTCACAATGTAAGGAACAAAATATTGATAAATATACAATAATTATTATTAGAATCACACTACATAAAAAAATATTATAAAAATAGAATAATTGTTCTTAATTGATTTGAGAAAAGAGATGTTTTCTCACAAATAGAGGATTTGATTTGATTGCAGAAAGAATATAATATTAGAAGAACCATTAAGAAAGAATAATACATCACATAGTAACACCAGTAAAAACTTAGGCAAGAGAGGCAGTGATTAAAGAAAATTATGTGTGGGTAATTAAAAAAAAAAAAAGCTTAGGAATTATAGCATTTTTATCTAAACAGCCTCATCATACCATATGAACTATATAAATACAAAACAACTCTCTCAGTTGCAAAAAAAAAAACTTTTTTACAAAAATGAACTAAACAAGTTATTCTTATCAACAACTTAAAACTTTCGGTCCCCTTATACATTAATATAGAAATAAGATGACTATAAACTAAGCAGTCATCAATAAAACATGTACAAAAAATTATTGATAACTCATAAAATATAAATAAATATTGAATAGTTGTACATATGTAGAAACAGCTTGAGCATTCTAAACAAAATTGGAATGAGATTATAATTATTAACAAAATTGCAATGAGATTACAATTATTAACAAAATTGGAATGAGATTACAATTATTAACAAAATTGGAATGAGATTATAATTATAAGGTCTAATACTCACAAAATCATACAAGGTGTTCTGTAAGGATCACTCCTAGTATATAGTTTGAAAATCCTCGTCAAAAATGAAGTTAAAAAATAAATTAAGGATCACAAACTTATATTTTAGGAAAGGAAAAAGCAAAAATCTAACTAATTCTTACTGCTGAAAGTAAAACCTGTTTGATTAGTAGAATTGATTATTAGAGAATCTTTTAAGTTTCATCAGACAATGAAACTCACAGATTTCATTAACCTCTCTGTTATATTGTTGCCTAAACGTTAATTTGCTCTACCAAAAGGCTTTCCTCTTTTTTTGGACATTTCAGGCTGATTTTATCAAATTTCTCTGATTTTTGCGACCCGTTGCAAAAATGTTATTATTAATTTTCTGTAACACCTCATTATGCATAAAATATATCACAAAATGCTCATACTCATTACAGCTTTTTAAAAAAAAGGATAAATAAAACAACATTTTTTTAGAAATTATTATTATATACCAATATTATTTAATAAAATATATGACTTTGAGATACCTAAAACTTAAATTAATTTATTTTCCTTTGACTTTTTTAATTAAATTTCTTGAAAATTAAATTTCTTTCAAGGATTTTTCCAAATTTGTAAAAATTTCTGATTTCCTAGTTCTGAGGCCAACCTGTTTAACTTCCTTTTTGATGATAATTCTAAAAATATGTATTAAAGGTAATCATTAAGGAACTGTATATTAAACAAACAGAAACATTTCAAGATGAATTTTACAATAAAAAAATGAGAGTTTTTCCCCACCCAATCAAGAATAAAATGTTCAGATCACCATCTTATTAAATTCCATAGTAAAATTATAATTATTGAGCTTAATAAGACACATTTTGATAATGAAAATGAATATCCACTATTGCAGCCATCATTAAAACAAGTATAAACACAGGATCGGTATTCCCTCTCATCTCCTGGACGTCTCACATATTCACAATAATTTCCGTGATGCCGAGAAGAACAAAATCGTCTTGTTCCAATAGTACCTGGAAAAAATTAAAAATAATTGGATACCTTAAAAAAGATTTTTAACAAAAGTATACTTCAACATATCAGAAACTCAGTTTTAAAAACTAGCTTTTAAAATATACTTTAAAGCATACTTTAACATATCAGCAACTCAGTTTTAAAAACTAGCTTCTACAATATAAATAAACTGGAGAAGTAAAAAGTGAGGAAGGAAAAGTAGAAATTAAGATAATTTAGTCACTGGTCCCTGGATCAGGGACTAAATATAGCTAGTCGGTGTACATTTTCACTGTTCTTTTTATATGTCTCTATTAGTTTTCTAATTGAAAAAAATCAATAAAGTGAGCTTAATTTAAAAATTACCAAACAAAGTATTAAATTTGTTAAGTTCAAAGAATGAGTAAAGTTAATATGCTATTTTGTAACAATGAAACAGACTTAAACCTGAAACTGAAAGTCATAAAACAATTCCTTTACATTGATTTCTAGTCCAGTAGACCATTAATAATTATTTTTTAGTGGTTCCAGACCAATGCTGTTAATTTCGAGCCCTGAGTAGGGCATTGTAAGACATTGAAAAAATATCTCACTATTTATTATTTTGTGAATCCTAGAGTATCAAAGATTGTTAAAAGGATTAATTTTCAATTGCACTTTAAAAACTTATAATGAAAATACTTAGAACTTGTACACAAGCCAACATAGTTAAATGGTGAGATTTAGTCCAGAGTGCTATGTTTTTAATTAATGTATCCTCCCAATTTATAACACATTATCATTAATTTTTTAATCATTTAGTTTTGATGTTCGTTTAAAAATTATTAAAAAATTGAGATATACCCAACTTAATTAACTTAACCCAGGGTTTTAGTTTTTTGGAATTCATTATTATACCACAAAAAAAATTATGGAAAATGATAACGTTTTTGAAAAAATTTTTTAATCATGTAAAAAAATCAATTTTAGCAAACACTATATTTTACAGAAATATGAAAAGTATTTAAAAACAAGAATATGCAATGATTTGATAATATACTTACTAAAAGTAAATTAATTGCTAAAAAAGTATGTAATTATTATAATATTTTTATTATGATATTTTTTTGTGAATAAGCTTTTTTTTTGCTGCTAATTTGAGTTTTCAGAAGGTACTATAAGTCGGCTCTACTTTTTGTACAAATTAACTCCTCTTGCTTATTATAGTTTATAAAAGGAAAATGCCTCATTATTATTTAGAATTAGCTAATTTGAATTTTAGTTCAAATAAATTTTTTAAACTTGCTTTTTTAATTATTTAATTGTTTTAATTAAATTGTATTTGACAAATTGTAAGCGTTAATACTTTTCATTTAATAAGGCTTTATTCTTCAATTTTAAAAATGTTATTTGTTATAGGAGTATGATGTAATTGGTTCTTTTTAAAAACTTTATTTTCGTCTATAATAACATGAGCTATCTTTTTAGTAATATGTCAAACAGTTCATTCATATTACTATTTTTAATTAAGCTTATTCTTAACAAAGCATTATTAAAATTTCTCATAAGTATAACAAAAAGTTAATAATACACAGATCAACTATATTTTTTCAAACAAATATGATGCATATCAAAAAGGGCATCATAAAATTTGTGTTTAAATTAATCTGAAATATGGTTAACATCATGAATAACATCAAGAATATGAAAAAAAATTCCCTAAAAAAAGGTTGTCTAAAAAATTTATTGTCACTTTTTCACATTTTTTTTAAATCTATTTAATTTGGAAAATGACAAATCAATCAAAATGAACTACTAATCTAAAAAGGCCATGCCATAAATAAACATGATTTAAATTGTTTATATTAAAAAACATAGTTAAAATTCTGTTAAGACAAATTAAACAATTTGTGAACAATTAATAATTTTGATAAAATTAATACTGTAATAATCCTCCTTCTGCATACAAACATTTTTTTTCCACATTTTTTTGCAAAAACGATTAATGATTTAGTTTATTTATTCAATATATGTTCGATAACTTTTCGACCAATGACATCAGTAATAATAATTGTTTCAATATAACAACTGTGATAGCTTTCTTAATTGTTACAACAAAAAAATGAAATGCTTTTATTTATTTATATATTTCACTTTTTTTAATGAAAATTCAGCTTAATATAAGTTAAATAACAAATCAAAAACATGTAACCAACATTCATATTTTAAAAAATAATGCTTAAAGGAATAACCAAATATGAATTTAAAAAATAATAATAATTAACCCAATAACAGTCAACTTAAAACCCAGTTTTGGTTAGTGCTATTTTTGCACACAGAGCAAAAAAAAAATTTTTATAATATTTATTTTCTCCAAATAAATGTACCGTTAAAAGGTTAAAAAAATTGTTTTGGTTCACAAGTTTTCCTTTAAAAAAATTAATAGAATACTTAAAAATTTATAATATAATATAAAGCATATTACATAGTTTTTTATTTTAGTGTTGAGTGGAGTTCTGAATATATTTGCGTAATGTACAGTTGTATACATTTTTGCGTGACCAACAGTTTAGTCTTTTCGCTTCAAATTATTTTCAGTCATGTACTTATTAAATAAAAGGGAAAGTTCCAAGATATTTCCATTAAAAAGGATAAATTTTGAGATAAGTCATTATTACATGATAGATTTTCAGAATTATATTCTTACATTTTATTTAGAATTTACATTTAAAATTATATTCTTACATTAGTACACTTACATCATTTGAATGTCTGTTTTAAAGAAACCAAAAATTCTAGTTCAATCCAGACTCTATTGTTCATAATTCAAGAGTGTTCAAATCCCAAAAGACGATTTATTTTTAATTCAAAATAATTAATTATGACTAATTTAAACATTAATCAGCATAAATATTTTTCTATACAAAATAAAATTAATGTGAATACAAAACCATCAAAAGAAAATAGCATTTTCATAAATTCAAAATAAAAGTAAAATGAGAAACAAAATTAAATCTGTAGATAAAATAGTTTTATAATTTGTTAAATTCAATTATGTAAACAATTGTAATCTTACAATTCAAAAGTTTTTTGACTATTATTAAATAAAAAAATAAAAAATAATAAACATTTACTAATAGTTATATTTTGCATGAAATTACTAAGGATAAATGAATTTTACAGTTTCATGCAAAAAAATTTTCAATTCATTTATAAAGTTCTTGAGATACGATGAAATACGCAAAAAATAGACTTTACATTAAGGGGTTCAAACTTTAAACCACTCTCCTAACAAATTAATGAGACAATATTTCCAAGATTGCGGCTTGGAAAACCGGATTTTTTTCCCGAAGCACAATCATGTCTGCAGAGAAATGAACTATGGAGAAAATATTTACCTTCATACATTCCTGTTGCTTTAATGCAATATTTCGCCTCATATATCTCATCACACTCGGTAGGTTCAAGAGTCAAACCATCTCGATTAAACACTTCAGCACAATATGTTTCTTCATTTGAATTACACTGGTAACAAAATAAAGCTGATGCTACAATTAAAAAAGGGATTAATACCAATGATGAGAGTGGAAAAATAACAATAAGTCTGGAAATAACAATCAACTTAAATCCTTAAAAAATAAATAAAAAAGACATGATCGATTTTTAGTTTTTCTTTAACTATATGAGCACAATGACAGTCTAACAATCTTCTCAACATAAATCATGATTGCTATAATAAAATAATAAAGAAAAATAACAAAATAATGCAGAACTATTAAGAAAAAAAGACATTTAACATATCATTTTCATTTTCTCTCATCCAAATTTAGAGAAGTTGGAAGAATGTTTTATTGAAGAATATAAGAATGAAAAACATGAATGAAATCAAAAAGGTAGACACATAGGGGACCCCAATCTAATATTTCAAGGAACAAAACCTTATAAAAATCTACTGAATCATTAGCGAGAAAGGTGGGGTGAGAAACATCAAAACTAGTTTGACAACCAAGTTAAACTTAAAAATATTTATTACAATTAAATTTTAGCTCCACTCAGATTTCTCCAACAAAAATATATGTTTTTGTTTTCAATCCTGCCTTTCTCAGTCTTGATTTGTTAGATTTCAATAGTATTTTTGTTTTTTCTGGCTTTATAATTATTCACATCTTAAAAGTGTATGTTTTTCTGTATCCTTATTTACAAGGATTCAACGATATTACAGAACATATAGATAGTTTACTATCTTTTGTTTATTCTTCTTCAAAAAACTATGAAACATTATTTAGCCCTTTAAGATAATCATCCTATCCCTTTATGAAAAAGATAACCTCCACAGTGAAATTTTTGATGGATTTACCCAAATAGTGCCATAGTTAAAAGCAAAACACATATATTACTTAAAACCAGTTATTTAATAACTTGTTTAATATAATATAGATCAATGGTAATGTTAAAAATTATATTAAGAAAAATCACTTTTAAAATGCAAACCTTTTTCAAAAAAAAAATATAAATTCTTTTTGTGTTAAAAATTATGTGTTCATGTATAACATTTACAAGATAAGAATTTCAAAAAGTAAAAATAATTGGGAGGCACTTTTAAGGCATTAATTCAAACTTAATTCAATAATTATATTAAAATTACATTACTCCTTAAGAAAAAATTACGATTGAAATAAAGGTAAGTTTTCATTTTAGTTTTAAAAATTGGCACATTAGTTTTGAAAAATTTTAAAAAATAATCTAAAAACTAATTACATACTATCTAATATTAATTGATTTTCATTAATAGGGTTAAACGTTGTTTTTTTAATCACTATGACTAATTTATTATTCGTATAGAAGAATAAAGATCATTAAATTCACACATTAGGCCCTATAAATTGTGGGGAAATATTTCAAAAACCATGCCAGAAGGATAAAGCAAATTTTTTAAACTATATATAGAGTGATTGCATATAAATTAGAATATAATTAAAACAGAAAAAAATCAATTTAAAAAAATGTATCTTTTGTTTTCTTCCTTGTCTTAATTACAACCATTTTAATAATTATTACAACAGAGATTCCCTAACCTTATAACTTTAACCTGATATATTTATAGTAAACATCACAGTGATAATTAAAATTAAAGGAAAAAGTCATATTATAAATTATTATATTCCTACTAACTTCGTCTTTCTCTCATAAAAAATTGGTAGTAGCAAGATATACAGCTCTTTCATGGTCAACTAAATTAGGCAGCAGAGGTATAATTTGTCTGGCTTTTATTCTAAGTTCTAAAGTTTGCTTTGAGAATACTTCTGAATTCCAAAATATGTTTAAATCCATAACATTCTTTAAGACATTCTTTGTGAGCAACTACTTTTATAATCGTTGTTGAACAGCCGACCCAATATTTTTATGGGTTTACTACTACTAATGTTTAAATCCATAGCCTTCTAATTTTGAAAACAATCCAGAAGGTAAGGGAACTCCTGGATCAAGCATTAGGAGAAATTTGCCTTCGTGGAGGACTTTTTGATGTAACTAACCCACATTTGTGTTACATGGAGAGGAATACCACGAAAACCTCGCACGGTTAGCCAGGCGGCAAGAAGACTCTAACCTGTGATCCATCTACCACTAAAGATATTTTACGTAAGCACAGTGGTCGGTGCAAGCTGGATGTGGATTTCGTATTGACCAGTCATTCCTTGAATTCGAACAATCCCTTGAACCTCATTGGAAGCTGAATGCTCTATCCCCTGGGCAATCACAGCTCTGAGCAATAACTTAAAATTTCCTTCACTCAAACATTTTTTATTACACAATTGTCATGAATATAAGTAGGCCATTTGTTTTTTATAAGAAATATGAGCAGCTAGCTTTCATGGAGTTTAATACTGATTGAACTCAGCATTAACTAAAAGAAGGCATTTTGCCTACAAATTAAATTATGTTAATATTCTGTGTTAATGCGGACAATTATTAATAATCAAGATTTTCTCATTTTCACACAATTTATAACGCCTTATCCATGCGTGATACAGTGGAATAATGATTTTGAAGAACAAACATAAAACAATTTTCTGAGACGTAACTCATTTTACTTTGGATAAAACTTCGTTCATTTTTATACATATTGAATTACTACTTAATTATTTTAATATCATAATTATAATTATCTCTAATAATTAATAATTTTGGGGAAATTTCCGTATCGTGATCTGTGACAGAATAATCGACAAGTCTTGGAAACTTCCGGGCAGTGGCCCGCGAGAAACTAAAAAAAAACATCACAGAATGGGACCAACTCGAAAGGTATAACTCGTAACCATATTCACTAAAAATAAAACACAGTACACAGAAACAATAAATTAACCAATGCTAATTTAGTAAAGTAAACAACTTAGAGAAAAACACATTTCTTACCTTTATTCGAAATTAAAACAATGATAAAAAGCTTCACAAAAATAACGAGAAAGAAATTCATGATTCCTAGTTTCATGCTTCTAAAAGAAATAATTATTTCTAGGTAATTAATAATAAATTAGTTCATTGGGCATTTCTATTGATACATAACAGCAACATTGACGGGCGCGGTTATCTGAATGTAAATAAACTAAGCTTTCGAATACAGCCACGGTTGCAGTGAGCTTCAGTGAGCAGGCGGGATGAAAAGAAAATAGATCAGAGGATTATCTTGGCCAACTGAAACGAATGTAAATATAAAACTTCGCGAAAACTAAGTATTTCTCTATGTTTTGATGAATCAAACATTATGCTGATGTTATTCAGTAGACATTTATATCATTTTCATAGAAACTCTTGTGATATAAAAGGCATTTATTTGGTGATTTATAACTGTCATGAAGATAAAGTAGCTTAAAAGGAATGTACGTTTTACAAAGCTCCTTACAATGGAGAAAAGAATGTTTATTAAGTAATATTAATATCCAAGAAAAGGCTTTAACTTAAAGCCTACGATAATGGAAGATATTCTTGCGAAGAAGTGTCGTATATAGACGAATTCCCTTACACATTTAAATGTCATTATAGATGCTGTACTGTACTGAAAAGTTAAATGAATTTTTTATGCTTTANAGAATTATATTCTTACATTTTATTTAGAATTTACATTTAAAATTATATTCTTACATTAGTACACTTACATCATTTGAATGTCTGTTTTAAAGAAACCAAAAATTCTAGTTCAATCCAGACTCTATTGTTCATAATTCAAGAGTGTTCAAATCCCAAAAGACGATTTATTTTTAATTCAAAATAATTAATTATGACTAATTTAAACATTAATCAGCATAAATATTTTTCTATACAAAATAAAATTAATGTGAATACAAAACAAAACCATCAAAAGAAAATAGCATTTTCATAAATTCAAAATAAAAGTAAAATGAGAAACAAAATTGAATCTGTAGATAAAATAGTTTTATAATTTGTTAAATTCAATTATGTAAACAATTGTATACCTACAATTCAAAAGTTTTTTGACTATTATTAAATAAAATAATAAAAAATAATAAACATTTACTAATAGTTCTATTTTGCATGAAATTACTTTGGATAAATGAATTTTACAGTTGCATGCAAAAAATTTTCAATTCATTTATAAAGTTCTTGAGATACAATGAAATACGCAAAAAATAAACTTTACATTAAGGGGTTCAAACTTTAAACCACTCTCCTAACAAATTATTGAGATCATATTACCAAGATTACGGCTACCCCCTATATTTTGAGGATCAGAAATCTGAATTTGTCAACAAAAAAAATAAGTTTATTTAGAAAAAGTATGTTTTTGTGTCTGATAAAACTAAACTCAGTGGCGCGACAGCCCATAGAGGACCAAGGCCTACTGTGCCCATCTCAGTTTTCTTGACCTTGGGCTCTGTGGTGTAGAGGCAAATGTTCCGGTCAGGTGGTTAGCCGAACGCGGAACCCCCAGTGTTTAGTTCCCAAGCATGCTTGGTACTCATTTATCGACCCACTGAAAGGTTGAAAGGCTGAGTCAACCTTGCCCGGAACGAGGATCGAACCCAGGATCTGTGGTTCGGGAGCGTGAAGCACTACCAGTCAGCCACCGAGCGTTTTGTATCTGATTTCGTAACTTAAAATATTATCCTCACTAATAAATTAGCATATTCAAGGCAACCATTAAGATTGAGGCCTAGAATGTGAAGATTTGATCATTTGATCAAAGGTTACTCAGGGTGTGCCGTACATTTTTTCCACATAAATGTTATCAATATATTTCAAGTAATTTCTCTGCTAATAATAATGTATGAAATTCAAGACGACTATTATATTTTCCTGCACCTTTATTGACACTATTAATAATTTTTGTTTTTCATTCATACGCAGCAGAAAGTACACACTATGTTTTTATGTTATCAAGGGTTATTGTGAGCCCAGCTCAAAAATTCTGAAATTTTCAAGTAAAATTATTAATGACGCATTTCAAAAAAATTAATGTCTTCATAAATTGAAATCATTGATATTTTAAAAACATGAAATTCTAAATAAATTATATGCAGCATAATTTAAATGAATAATTATGTATAAGTTTACTTTTATGTCTAATCACATTTATTATTTAAAATAAAAAAATATTTACAAATAAAAGAGATGCCAATGTTATAAATTCTAGTTTTAATATTTCTAAATAAAATCTAAAAGAATTTTTATTAGACATAAATATGATCAATGATTTCTTAAAACTTCAAGACCTTGGATTTCCACAAACTTCCGGATAGCAGTTAGCGAAAAATCCGGAAAACCGGATTTTTCCCCGAAGCACAATCATGTCTGCAGAGAAATGAACTATGAAGTAAATATTTACCTTCATACATTCCTGTTGCTTTAATGCAGTATTTCGCCTCATATATTTCATCACACTCGGTAGGTTCAAGAGTCAAACCATCTCGATTAAACACTTCAGCACAATATGTTTCTTCATTTGAATTACACTGGTAACAAAATAAAGCTGATGCTGCAATTAAAAAAGGGATTAATACCAATGATGAGAGTGGAAAAAGAACAATAAGTCTGGAAATAACTATCAACTTAAATCATTAAAAAATAAATAAAAAAGGCATGATCGAGTTTTATTTTTTCTTTAACTATATGAATACAATGGCAGTCTAACAATCTTCTCAACATAAATCATGATTACCAGCAGGGTTGGCAAGATTTTGCCGCAGGTGGAAAAAACCATGGTAAATACCGGTAAAAACCGTCCTGGCAAAAACAGGTTTTTGCCAAGCAAATTGGCAAAAACCTATACTTTCCAAGACGAGAGGACAAAAACACATTTTTGATGCAAAATTATTCCTAAAATTTAAATATATACTATAAATATAAATAATTACAAAAATTAACAAAATTATTATTCCATAATTAAATCATAATGTAATAATATATCATTTTAGTAGTTTAAAACATTATTGATTGGAAAATTTGTGATTATTCTCTTTTTTCCAGTGAAATGAACTTATTTTAAATTAATATAACTATAATTTAAAGCATAAAATATCTATCAACATGTGTAGTTAATTATTGTACAAATAATAATTTTTTATAATAAATAATAATATTATACAAATAATAATATTTATTTATTTGTAAAAAAACATTTATTTTAGGATTCTAAAATGAAAAGAGATCAAAAACTTTCAATCTTTTAAAAATTATTACCCTTATATTAATTATTAATATGTTAAAAATAATTTTTTCATGTAATGTATCAAAATTATTATTCCTTATGATTGATTTAAATTTGTTTCAAGTATTTTGTAATAATATTTAATCAGCAATTTAGATAATTTGGTTTTCGCCGGTTTTTACCAGTTTTTGCCGGTTTTTACCAGGTTTTTGCCACTGTCCTGGCAAAAAACCCTTTTTGCCGGCAAAAACTCCAACCCTGATTACCAGAATAAAATAATAATAAAAAAATAATGCAGAACTATTTAGAAGAAAAAAAAGACATTTAACATATCATTTTCTCTCATCCAAATTTAGAGAAGTTGGAAGAATGTTTTATTGAAGAATATAAGAATGAAAAACATGAATGAAATCAAAAAGGTAGACACACAGGGGACCCCAATCTAATATTTCAAGGAACAAAACCTTATAAAAATCTGCTGAATCATTAGTGAGAAAAGTGGGGTGAAAAACATCAAAACTAGTTTGACAACCAAGTTAAACTTAAAGATATTTATTACAATTAAATTTTAGCTCCGCTGGCTTTAAGATAATCATCCTATCATTTTATGAAAAAGATAACCTCAACAGTAAAATTTTTGCTGGATTTACCCAAATAGTGACATGGTTAAAAGCAAAACACATATATTATTTAAAACCAGTTATTTAATAACTTGTTTTATATAACATAGATCAACCGTAATGTTAAAAATTATATTGAGAAAAATCACTTTTAAAATGCAAACCTTTTTAAAATATATATATATAAATTCTTTTTGCATTAAAATTAAAATTATGTGTTCATGTATAACATTTACAAGATAAGAATTTCAAAAAGTAAAAATAATTGGGTGGCACTTTTAAGGCATTCATTAAAAATTAATTCAATAATTATATTACTCCCCAAGAAAAAATTAGGATTGAAATAAAAGTAGGTTTTAATTTTAGTTTCGAAAAATTTTTAAAAATAATCTAAAAACTAATTACTACATATTATCTAATATTAATTGATTTTTATTAATACAGTTAAACATTTTTTTTAATTACTACGCCTAATTTATTATTCATATAGAAAGATTATATAATAATATATAAAGATCATTAAATTCATATACATTGGGCCCTATAAATTGTGGAGAAATATTTTAAAAACCATGCTGGAAGGATAAAGCAAATTCTTTAAATTATGTATAGACTGATTACATATAAATTAGAATACAATTAAAACTGAAATAACTCAATTTTTTAAAAAAAATACATCTTTTGTTTTCTTCCTTGTCTTAATTACAATCATTTCAATAATTATTACAACAGAGATTTCCTAACCTTATAACTTTCACCTGATATATCTATATTGAACATCACACTGATAATTAAAATGAAAGGAAAAAGTCATATTATAAATTATTATATTCCTACTAACTTCGTCTTTCTCTCATAAGAAATTGGTTGTAGCAAGACATACAGCTCTTTCATGGTCAACTAAATTAGGCAGCAGAGGTATAACTTGTCTGGCTTTGCTTGTAAGTTCTAAAGTTAGCTTTGAAATTACTTCTGAATTCCAAAATATGTTTAGATCCAAAACATTCTTTAAGACACTCTTTGTGAGCAACTATGTTTTTATAATCGTTATTGAACAGACAACCCAATATTTTTATGGGTTTACGACTACTAATGTTTAAATCTATAGCCTTCTAATTTTGAAAACAATCCAGAAGGCGAGGGAACTCTTGGATCAAGCATTAGGAGTAATTTGTCTTCGTAGAGGATTCTTTGATGTAAATAACCCACATTTGTGTTACATGGAGAGGAATACCACGAAAATCTCGCACGGTCAGCCAGGCAGCAAGAGGACTCTAACCTGTGATCTGTCTACCACTATGGATATTTTATGTAAGCACAATTGTCGGTGCAAGCTGGATGTGGATTTCGTATTGACCAGTCATTCCTTGGATTCGTTCGTGTTTCACCTCATTGGAAGCTGAATGCTCTATCCCCTGAGCAATCACAGATGTGAGCAACTACTTAAAATTTCCTTCACTCAAACATTTTTTATTACACAATTGTCATGAATATAAGTAGGTCATTTATTTTTGATTAGAAATATGAGCAGCTAGCTTTCATGGAGTTTAATACTGATTAAACTCAACATTAACTAAAAGAAGGCATTTTGCATAAAAATTAAAATGTGTTAATATTATGTGTTAATACGGACAATTATTAATAATCAAGATTTTCCCATTTTCACACAATTTATAACGCCTTATCCATGCGTGATACAGTGGAATAATGATTTTGAAGAACAAACATAAAACAATTTTCTGAGACGTAACTCATTTTACTTCGGATAAAACTTGCTTTCATTTTCATATAAATTGAATTACTACTAAATTATTTTAATATCATGATTATAATTATCTCTAATAGCTAATAATTTTGGGGAGATTTCCGTATTGTGATCTGTGACAGAATAATCGCCAAGTCTTGGAAACTTCCGGGCAGTGTCTCGCGAGAAACTAAAAAAAACATCACAGAATGGGACAACTCGAAAGGTATAACTCGTAGCCATATTCACTAAAAATAAAACACAGTACACAGAAACAATAAATTAACCAATGCTAATTTAGTAAAGTAAACAACTTAGAGAAAAACACATTTCTTACCTTTATTCGAAATTAAAACAATGATAAAAAGCTTCACAAAAATAACGAGAAAGAAATTCATGATTCCTAGTTTCATGCTTCTAAAAGAAATAATTATTTCTAGGTAATTAATAATAAATTAGTTCATTGGGCATTTCTATTGATACATAACAGCAACATTGACGGGCGCGGTTATCTGAATGTAAATAAACTAAGCTTTCGAATACAGCCACGGTTGCAGTGAGCTTCAGTGAGCAGGCGGGATGAAAAGAAAATAGATCAGAGGATTATCTTGGCCAACTGAAACGAATGTAAATATAAAACTTCGCGAAAACTAAGTATTTCTCTATGTTTTGATGAATCAAACATTATGCTGATGTTATTCAGTAGACATTTATATCATTTTCATAGAAACTCTTGTGATATAAAAGGCATTTATTTGGTGATTTATAACTGTCATGAAGATAAAGTAGCTTAAAAGGAATGTACGTTTTACAAAGCTCCTTACAATGGAGAAAAGAATGTTTATTAAGTAATATTAATATCCAAGAAAAGGCTTTAACTTAAAGCCTACGATAATGGAAGATATTCTTGCGAAGAAGTGTCGTATATAGACGAATTCCCTTACACATTTAAATGTCATTATAGATGCTGTACTGTACTGAAAAGTTAAATGAATTTTTTATGCTTTAAATAAATATCCTCATTAAATAAATAACTTGATTCTTACACCGAGTTTAAGTAATATAATTAAAAAATAAAAATACATAAAAATTGAAACAAATAATTCACCTCTCATTCATTTAAATAATTTACTTTTATCCTAACTACTTTTTGATGTGCATCGAACAATGTAATGTTTCGTGTTGGGTTTTTCTACTTAAATAGCAAGTTGAACAACATATTTTTATCATAGTGATCTTAGGAGTAAAACAAACATTAAAATTTTTCGAAATTTTAAAAAAACTAAATTAGAATTTTTTTTTACCTTATGAAAATATTGTCTTTAATAAATGCAAACGTCTAAATTTATTAAATAAAATTTAGTTTTACATTTTAGAAACGGGTATTTCAATTTCTGATTTCTAGAATCATTGTTGAATTTAAAAATGTTGATCGCATATAATTGCATTGTCCCTTTAAAGAAAGGTAAATACAACGAAAAAAATAGTTGCGCATATACGTAAAAAAATATTAAAAATGAAAATTTAGAAATATACTCCATGCATTTGTCTAGAGCCTTTCATTGCATTGTGTTCGTAAACTTTGTATGCATTCAAAAACAGGAGTTAAGGGGGCTAATTTAATTGATTTAGAAGTTAATAGAAAGCAATACCTTTTAAAGTTAATCTAAAAATTAAAAAAAAATTGTATATAGCGTTATAAAAAAATTATAACTTTTTTCCTGTAAAAACATGAAGATGGCTTTAATGGTTTTGTAACAGAACAATGTACTTCTAATGAAGATCGACTGATTCAATTCATAACTTATTTAAAAGACTATTTCTAGATGGAAAAACTCCAAAGTTTGTAATCTGAAGTCAGAATTATTCCAACCAATATAAACACATTAAATTTGATTTAATTTCAGTAATATATAGCAAAAATCTTATCGTAAGAAAAATTGGTTCCAGAAAAGAAAAAAAATTTTTTTTTTTTTTTGAAACTACAGGAATTTGAGCATAACTACAATTACTATCTAAGAAAATAAGGAAAATTAAATTAAATTTTAAAAATTTGCTATTGAAATAATATTGCTAGATTGTTTAGCATATAATGCACGATAAGTAAATTTTTAATTGCTTTGAACGATACTTTGAAATCTATACAGAATTTCATCAATTTTTCTTCAGAATTATCTTTAATTTCCAATCCTATTGTTTTCACAATTTAAACTTAAGAATTAGAAATTTATTTCAGTAAAAATTGATTTTTAATAAAAATAGAAATTCTCTTATCCACATTTAAATCTTTATAAATTGATTTATATTAGCAATTAGGAATCCCGAAAATAACTAGATGCTCATTTATACGATAATGGTTTGTAAAATATCGTCAATATTAATCTTTTTCATTCACATATTTGTTTAACCACTTAAAATTTTGCATATCTGACTTCACCCGTACCACAATTTGTCCATTAGACGTCCGAATTTCTAACACAGAGTCAAGTGGACGTCATGGATCCCGCATGGAAATAAATAATTATTACATGGTTTTCTCTAGCTCTATCACGGATGATCCATTGGGATTCAAATATAGGGTTTCTTAATCACCTTAATACTGACGATGCTTTTTTGTAATGTATTAGCAAATTGGAGCAAAATAGAAAGCGTTTATAATTTCCTCTGGATGATACGAATGCATTGATTTACGCTTTATCTGAGCAGAATTTTTTTTGTTTGATAGATTTTTATTATGGGTGAAATTTTTTATGGGTGATTTATATTAACAATCAGGAATCCCGAAAATAAATAGATACTCATTTATACGAATAGAAATAGTTGTAGAATAATAATATCAGCAGATGTAATTGTAATATCAGCAGCTTGGAGCAAAATAGGAAGCGTTTATATTTTCCTCAGGATGATACGTATGGATTGATTTACACTTACCCGAGCAGAAACTTCTACTATACTTTCTTTATGTCACACTAGACCAGCACAATGGGCTAATGGCGACGGTCTGAGAAACATCTCTGAGTATATAGTCTGAAGACATGCCATCACAATTTTGACGCTCAGCCGAGGGGAGGGCTTCCCCGTTTTAGTAGCCTGAAGACCTGCACCCGCAGTCGAGCACTTTACGGTTGAACAGTTTAACGAGGACCAATACCGTACATCCTCTGTCCCTACGCAGACTGATCCAAGTGGTCATCCACCTTCACACTGACCGCAGTTTTTGCTGCCAGTTTTTTTAGTTTCCTGAGGATGTCTTTACTCTTATGACTTCGCGTGCAGGTCTTTGGGGTACCGAAGCGGGGTTGCCATCCCCTCTGCTGAGGATCAAAATTGTGATGGCATGTCCTCGGATCATTCTCAGGGATTTTTCCCAGACCGTCGCCAACAGCCAATTGTGCAGTTCTAATACGACGTAAATGAATTACAACAACAACAAAAAATATAACACGGTATTTCAATTTCAACAAAACAAACAAATGAATTCTGAAGATTCTGCAAGCATGCTCGCATGCTAAAAAAAATAATAAGCAATATTTTACGCTAATATAGCCAATAAGGGATGACGCTTAAAATATGGCAAACCTTACACTTTGTTTATGTTTAGACATTAATTTTCATAAATTTTTTATGGATGGTGTTTTCTACACTAGGGAGCGCTGCAAGCTCGGGACTGCCTAAATTTCCGGGTTACTGTTTCAGTTGTATTTTAAAGCCATTTGGCATCATTGTGTTTTGAGATTCTTGCGAACAATGCATTTGATTACTTATTACTTATGTTTACAATGCTAACAATACTTGTGTTTACGATACTACAAGTGTTAACACTAACGTAAGATGGTGCACAGCTTACAACACGAGCAAACAGTAATAAACAAATGGAAAGAGGCCAAATCAAGACTGCCAAAAAAGCGAGTTATTCAAAATCTAGCAACCATGTCACCTTTTTAATTAAGAAATAACAAAATATCTGAAACAAATTTTCACTCCAAACACCCCAGAATTACATAGTAACATTAATATCTTATGAAATACGGCAGATTTGAGCTCAGAAATAATCTAGTTTATTTCTTTTATTGAAAACAAAATTATCCGTTTGAAAACAGCGCCAACAGAATAACATGTAGTAAGCAGCTGCAAACTTTTTAACCAGAACTAGAGTAGGTGCCGAGATCGAGGTTGTTATTGTTTACCTTTCTATTGAAAACACCATCCATAGGCTTACAACCTCTTGGAATTTGTAAATGATAGAAAACTCTTATGAATAGTAGAATTACGAGTAAATTTAAACACAAATCGCAATAATAAAGCTTCCTAAAATATTAATCCCGCAAAAGATTGATCATAAAGACGTCTTTATGATCAATCTTGTACACGGTTCCCAGCAAAACACCGAAGTCATGCATCACTGGCTGCCGTCAGTAAGCGGGTAGGTGACCACTTTAATCAATCTGAGTAGGGACAGAGGGTGCGTGGTATCGGTCCTCGCTAGACTGTTCTACGGTAAAGTGCTCGACTTCGTGCAGGTGGTCTGGCTACCAAAGCAGGAGAGCCATCCCCTAAGCAGAGGATTAAAATTGCGATGGCATGCCTTCGGATCATCGTCAGGGATGTTTCCTGGACCCTGTCGCCAATATTCCATTGTGCAGCTCTAGTGTGACGTATATAAAGTACCTACCTACCTGAGAGTTCTGCTCTGAGCCACCTGTTGCCCATTTTGATCACCAATTACCTTATCATTTTTATATTTTTATATAGGCGATCGCAACTCTCGAATACGCCATCTGGGGAGTAGACTGGTTCCATGCCTTTGGCCCTTCTCCCTTCCCTCTCCTTCTCGTTTCAGTTGTATGGATCCCCTGGGCTACCACGGTTCTTCTCCCCATGGATGGTGTTTTCAGTAGAAATGTAAACAATAACAGTCTCGAGCTCGGCACCTACTCTAGTTCCGGTTAAAAAGTGTGCAGCTGCTTACTATATGTTATTCTGATAGGCGATGTTTTCAAACGGATAATTTTGTTTTCAATAAAAGAAATAAATTAGATAATTTCTGAGCTCAAATCTGCCGTATTTCATAAGATATTAATGTTATTATATAATTCTGGGGAGTTTGGAGTGAAAATTTGTTTTAGTTATCTTGTTATTTATTATTAAAAAAGGTGACATGGTTGCTAGATTCTGAATAACTCGCCTTTTTGGCAGTCTTGATTTGACCTCTTTCCATAAGTTTATTACTGTTTGTTCTTGTTGCAAAGCTGTGCACCATCTTACGTTAGTGTTAACACTTTTAGCATTGTAAACACAAGTATTGTTAATATTGTAAGCACAAGTAATAAGTAATCAAATACATTGTTTGTAAGAATCTCGTAACACAATGATGCCAAATGGCTTTAAAATACAACGGAAACAGTAACCCGGAAATTTAAGCGGTACCGAGCTAACAGCGTTCCCTAGTGCAGAAACACCATCCATAGGAATGTGCTACGATATTTACGCTTCCCTACGATACTTTACGTTTTTAATTAATAAAAATATTTTTTAAAATTTCCATGATGTTTTCTTTTAGAACTATGTTTAATGCGATTTTCAGTTCCATATAGTTCCCCAACTTAAAATATTTTAATCTATATAAAAATCGAGACAGAAACTAACGCACCTTCATCTTCTCCTTACTCTCCCTACGCTATTGGTGAAAACATGCGAAGTATTGCCATTGGTAGAGAGTTCTGCTCTACGCCAACTGTAGCAAGTTTCGATCGCCAATTCTGAAAATAGAAATCCCTTGCCGAGATTTTCAAACTGAAATAATTTTTTTAAGCATAAAAAAGTTTTCGATCGCTTTATTTAGAAATTTTGCAGCCAGTTCTTTTAGTTTCCTGAGGATGTCTTTACTCTTATGACTCGTGCGCAGGTCGTCGGGCTACCGAAGCGGGGGTGCCATCCCCTCCGCAGAGGATCAAAATTGTGATGGAATGTCTTCGGATCATCCTCCGGGATATTTCCCAGACCGTCGCCAATAGCCCATTGCGCAGCTCAAGTAAATTAACAACAACAACTGCTCTTATGACGCAATGTAGGAGCATCAGCACACATGTTACAGCGCTTTAGTAAGATTACGCTTTTAACCTTTACAATGAAGTGAAGTAAATTCAGAATCGAATAATTATCGATTAAAACTTTTTTTATTTTTATTTATTTTTAATTGCGTTGTTTTTAGTTGTTATGTTGGTTATTGTTAGACTTTGTATGATTGTCGACTCTAAAATGTTAACGATTTCTTACTCTGAAAGCTATAAATTATAGTTTTCATTAAATAAGAATAAAAATATTTCTTTCTTTTATTTAGGAGCATAAAAATATGCTGAAGTTCATGTTAGTGAGTGTGATTTCAATAATCAAACCATGCTCAAATAAAGAAATATTTTACGATCAGATTCTCATGTTTGTTTACTTAATCACATATACACTGTTGAAATAAACTTTTTTTAAAAAAAAATTTCAGTTATGTGCAGTGAGATTTTTAAAATAAATTTTCAAATCTCGTACTTAAAATGAGAGAAATAAGATGATACAGAGTAACGTTTAGTTAAAATTATTAAAGCTTAATATGATACAATATGAATGGAGGTCCCAAAGTTTACTCTTATTATTATTAATTGCTTAGAACTGATTTATTTTAAAAATTAAACAAAATTTGTACTTGACTTTACAAAAAAGACAATTTAGGCTATGTAAAAAAAAACTTTAATATTTTTTTAGAAAATATGGAAAAAATATTTTGAGCCAGTATTTGTAATTTTTTTTCTCGGAAGCTTTGAATTATGTAATATAGATTAAAGTTATTGATTACAGTAGTGATTGTAATTAAATAAAAGGTTTCATACTTTAAAAATATTTTTTAAAATGGATGTTTTATCTTAAACCTTTGTTGGGTAAAATATGTATGTTTTTCCCCGCAACAGCATAAAATATTCCGAATTGCTGTTTTATTTTTATGCTTGACGATCCCTTGTAAAACCAGATTTTCTTTTGTTAAAGGTGGAAAACAATTATTGTGATTAACATGTTTTAAGTTGAATTTTTATGCAAGCAGCATTGTTTATCATATACAATATTCTTTAATATTTCCTATTATGGAGTTAGCTGTGTGGTCATTGTTTTATGTTAATACTAAGCCTATTAAGTGAATTTTTTTAAATAAAGTTTATTCATTTTTGTTTTACATCTATTGATATATTTATACTAAGATACTAGTTTTAAATAGTTTTTATAACATTTACTGGGGATGTTTATGTATCGTGATCTGTCACGCCAACTACAACCGCCAAAGTGCCAAATAGATTTGAAGCTTGCAAATTTTTAAAAAAAAACAATGGCTGTAAGTTATACCTTTCGAGTGGGTCCCTTCCTGTGATGTTATTTTTTAGTTTCTCCTGAGCCGCTGCCTAGAAGTTGCCAAGAATTGGCTATTATTCTGCCACAGATCATGATATGGAAATCTCCACTATATGTTATTATTAAGGCATATTCTGTTTAACTTTATCAAGATATGAGAATACTTCTGCAATAATGGCTTAGTTGCAAAATACTTAATTTCCAAGGGTGTTTATGCTTAAGTTGTGATTTTAATAAATTTTCTTAAAACTTTTTTTTTTGGAACTGATTTGTTTCTCATTTTCCTCTATTTTTGAGAATTATTTTTTTTACCTACTGCCAATGTGGGTTTTTTAAATTGGACATATGAATAAATAGGGCGTAATGATCAAGAGAGTGGAAGAACATTGATTTTTTTTTTAAGGTTAAGGAATTGCTCGGGGATATTTCCATGTTGTGATCTCTTGCTCTAATTCAAGCGCTAAGACTTCAAAATTTGCAATTGAAAAGAAAAAAATGTGTAAGGCTTATTTGTTGGTGACTAAGCTTTATGCCCTTCCAGTTGGTCCTCTTTTGTAATGTTTCTGTTTGGTTTTCATTCCATAATTTAAACAAAAAGGTTTCACGGTGCTTTTTTGCTTATTCATTCAGAATAGTTTTTTTTTGCTTACTGCAAAATCATATTTTAGTAATTTCTTTAAAAATCATCCTTACCTAATTATTTTTTTCTGTGGAAATATTTGGTTTTAGAATTTGCATAAAAATAATCACCAAATTTTGTCAACTACCAGGCTGTAACATGCAAAAATCTTATAAAAAATTTCAGAGGGAGGCAAATTCATAGGGTTTAACAAGGAGCCTCTCTTGAGTAAGCCCCGACACTACTACAAATTTTTTTTTAGAAATTTTTTTTGAATTTTTTTTAGAAATTTGGCATTTTGGTGTGAGCAGATACCAGTATGGAAATATCCTTTTTTTCTTGATGCTATGTGTTGTTAAGGAAATAATTTTTTTTAAGTTTTAAACTTAAAATATATAAATATTATTTTCCAGATATCCTTTGATAAAAGCTGATTGTTGACTAGTATGTCTCAATTTGCAACAGCAAAAAATCCTCCATGGGTGAGGGCCAATGGTATGATACTTCAGTTTATAGAATTTTTTTTTTAAAAAAATTATTATTCATTACACTTTTTTTATTTATAGGTAATGAAATTTCATTATTATTTTATTTTTAGCTGCAGGTATTGTCCAATCTCAGTCTGGTGCCTCAACATTACTCACTGCTCAACAAGTATCACATGCATCAGCTGCAGGACTTGCTGCAGGAACTCAATTAGCTGCTGGAACACAGTTAGCTTCCAGTACTCAACTTGCTGCTAATGCAGGATTAACAGCAGGAGCTACTTTAGCAAATCCTGCACTTGCTGCCAATGCAGGATTGGCAGCAGCCTCTGGGCTTGGACCCGGTGGTCCTAACCCCTTAGCTGCTGCTGTGGTTGCTGCAGCTCAAAATCAGCAAGCTCAGCAAGGTCCAGCTGTAAGTGCAGCTTATGGAACTGGTTTGGCCACTATAACTCTTACCCAGGTAAATTTTAGATTAATTTTTTGTAGTTTTGATAGTTAGGTAGGTTTCTGCAGTTCTATAAAGATATGAAAAATAAATTCTTTACAATGATTTTTTCTTCTCACAATACTTAAATAAATATTAGAATTCTTTAAAATTTATTTTGCATTGGTATTTATGGATGGTGTTTTCAATGAAAATGTAAACAACAATCTCAAGTTTTTGACCTGCTCTACTTCCAGTTAGAAAGTAAACAGCTTCTTACTAAAGCTTATTTTGCGAGTTGATGTTTTGAAACAGATAAGTTTTTAATAAGAGAAATAAATTATGTTACTTTAGAGCTCAAATCTGCTGTATTTCATTCAGAATTACTTAATATAATTATTAAGTAATTCTGGGGAAAATTTGAACTTGAAGTGAAAATTTGTTTTAGTTATTTATAGATGTATTGTTAAAAAAGGTGACATGGTTGATAGATTTAGAAAGAACTCGCTTTTATTTGGCAGTCCTGATTTGGCCCTTTTTTTACTTATTGGTATATCGTTTACAAGGTAAGAAGTGTTTTATAACAATTCTTTTTTTCAAATGACAATTCTTAAGTCTTGAAAAGACAGGTCTTCCAAATGATGATTCTTTTTTTAAACACAAATATCAGGTAGCAAAGACGCATATGCAAGAAATACTACTACTCAAGAGAGTCTTAAAACACAATGATCACGTTGTGAGCCAAATTTCTTCTAAGTAACCTGGAAGAATTGACAGTAAAGAGCTTGTAGCGAACCCTAGTGTATGAAATACCAACCATCAATACTTTTTTTTGTACCTGAACAATTCTTAGCCTACAATATTAATAGTTAACCATAATTATTGAATATGTTAACGAGTTCTTTTCTGAAATTTTATTTGTAAACATGAAAGTGATGTATAGTGATTATACAAATTGTTGTAACATTCTTATTAAAGTGTTAAAAATAAGTTCTATAATAATTTAAGAAAAAATAAATAAATTATTTATAAATTAAAATTTCAAAAGGAACTGATTTGTTTATATTCCTGTTATTTTTTTAAACAAAAATTTACATTTTTATCAGGCATAAGATTTTAGTGCAGATTTGAGTGCTTTGGTTATTAATAATAATAAAAAAAAGACCCAAGTTTTGATTGCAAGATTCCCCCTTGAGAGATATGAAATCAAATTAGTAGAAATACATCTTTAAATAATTTTATTCCTCTAAACAAATGCTTGTTACCATCAAGCAGTATCATCTATTAAAATAAAATATGCAGAAGTAAAATAATTAAAATTTGTTAAATGTATAGTTTATTGTTTTGCTTAAATAAATATGATAATAAATATTTACTTATTCATTTATTTAACTTTCAGAATGCTTTGCAACAAGGTGCAATGCTTCAACAAGTAAGTAAAATTAAATAAACTACATATTTAGAAATTCTTTGATTTCCTGTTGCTATGTATTTTAATAATTCTATGACTTTGTTAAAATTACTCAAATTTTTCTTTTAAGTTATTTTTATTTATTGCTTTACGCATTGGATGCAACTATTTTTTTATGATATTTTAATGAAATGCCAGCTAGGTGGTTGAGTGTTCAGCGTGCTTGACTGCGAAGCTAATGGTTGTGGGTTCAAATCCCGCTTGGGGCATAGACGTTTCTCTCTCTGTGTTGCATGATGTGTGAATATGGCCCACCCTATGAATGGGTCTATGGTTGTGTGACATGGGTAACGTTGCTCGCCTCTGTGACTGAGGTTTACAGGTGGTTCATCTGTATAAAAATTAATTCTGCTATAACTCCTTAATTAAAAGATTGATTTTTTTTTAAAATTTTGGGAATCACTTTTAAATGCAAAAATTTATTTGGAGTCCAATTTTTAAAAAGGTTGATTAATATCTTCAGCAATTTAGTAATAAAAATTAATGTTTTTGTTATACTGAGTTTTGTACATTGTGCAGCTCTAGTGCGACGTAAATAAAGTACCTACCTACCTTGTAAAGTACAAACAGATTTTTTTTCTTCTTTAAATGATTGCCTTTTTTTTTTTTTAAACCTTTGCACTTTGATCTTTTTTCCACCTAAAATGAGCTCTGTTGCTTCAGGAAAATGTAGTTTGCACTATGTTTCATGTCCTCTTTTTGTATTATAAGGTAAATAAAGAGAAAAATCCTTGCAGAATTTGATAAATAGAATCCAGTTTACTTGTCTCTAGTTCTTAGCTGTTAAAATCAAATCTCAAATTTTTTTAGTGCCTCTATATCATAAGAAAAAATCAAACTACTAATCCATCAGGGGTTGATAATGTTAAGAGTTTATCCGTTAATTAGGAAGAATGATTTCTGCAAATTGTTTCTTTATTAAAAATTATCAAATGTACTGTTTTTTTTTTATTGAAAATTAGACTAGGAATTTCATATTTTATTTTGCTGAATGTATCATAACTAATTTTTTTTAAAATCATTTCTTAGCAGGGTATTGCTATTCCAGCCTCATTAGCTGCCACAACTCAGGTAGCCAATGTAAATGTGAGTATTCTTTTAAAGTTTTTTAATGTTGCAATTAAGGCATATCCATATTTTATAACTATGATTTTGTTATCTTTTTTAAGACACTTCACATTTTAATTATAGCATATTCAGATTTGTTAATTTTTTTTTTAATTCAATAAAAAATCATTCCTGTTATTAGTTTCTTTTTATCAAATTGAATCTTTTGTCTTGATTTAATAACTCCTGCAAGTATTATGTAAATTACCTACCTATATAATATGTTTTGAAGCAACTTCTGTCTGCTGTTATGTATTTCTGTACTTGGATGTTGTTGTCAAAATTTCATTAACAACAGTCCTCTCTCAGAATGTTTTTTAATTATGACATTCTTTAGGAATTAAACATCTTTAAACCTTGATCATTTTACAAGTATTTTGAGTTGATATGTAATCATATAATATATGTGACATGACCAACTTCTATGATAGGGTTGCCACTCCATAGGAAAAACCTGGGAAATACAGGGAATTTAAAAATCACCTGAAATAACAGGGAAAATGCAGGGAATTTTGATTTTTTATTTACAAACTGGGAAAATACAGAGATTTTTTAATTTATTTTTTAATTTGGTCTTTTAAAAAATGGTGCATAATCTATGGGATAATTAACCATGATATTTCAGCTATACTAAACTATTTCATTTACCATAGCATTATTTAAGTATGCTCAGCTGTTTTTCCAGCAATTGAAACTAATAAATATAGTTAGCCCAATGTAGCTCACACAAGAGCACAGTAATTGTTGTTTCCTCTTAATATATTGCATATAACATGTATAAGGAAAACACAGGGAATTTTTTTTTCTCCAGATTTGAGTGGCAACCCTGTATGAATTTTTTGTAATTTTTTCCATTTTACAGCTTTTTTTTTTTTTTTTTTTTTTTTTTTTTTTTTTTTTTTTTTTTTTTTTTTTTTTNTTTTTTTTTTTTGAATTTCAGATTTTGGCTAATTTTTCTTAATTTTAGCAATCTTTGACTGATCATATTTTAGCAATTTTTATTGCCAACCTTTCGCTTAATCATATATTATAGTCTACCATGATGATACAAAATACAGTAAAGTAAATGTTTGGTATCTTCAAAAAATTGTATCATAACTGGATTAGTAAGATTTTATTAAAGCAAACACATTTATTTTTCTATTTGTGTTTGATAAATGGTTACTTTTTCCATCAATAAAAAGATGTTCTCAATACTCTGTAGATTCTTTCGCAGGATTTTTTTCTGTTAGGGCTGTATATATAGTATTTGAATGAGTTATTAGATCAGTATAACATCTCGTAAAATATTACTTTTCCTTAATTTTTTTAAAAAATTGAATCAACTTTTATTATACACATATGATGTTCCTAAGTTACTTGAACTATTTTAGAATGGAATGGTTGTTGAAATAGCTCGTTTGCCTCAACCTGGTGTAGCTCTTCCAACTTCTCTTGCAACAACACAAGTAGCCACTGTTAGTTATCCTGCTCCTAGGCTTTTAGCTCAAACTACTCAATATCAAGGTCCTCAACCTCAGGTTCATCCATCAGCTGTTGTGCAACAGGCTGCTGTGCAGCAAGCCGCAGCTGCTGCTGTTATGCAACAGCATGCCGCCCCACAACAGCACCAAGCCCAGCAGCAGCAACAGCAGTTTAAACACAGAGTGTTTACTGGGACAGTTACCAAATTGCATGAAAACTTTGGATTTATTGATGAAGATGTATTTTTTCAAATCAGGTAAATTGGTTCCTTTTCTTGAAATCTTTTAAACTAGGGTTAGGATTTTGTTCATAAGAAACCTATTTCCTACAGGGTTAATGATAGGAATCGGATGAAATGGAAAAAACTAAAATTAGTCTCCATATAATTTATTAACAATAAGTATTGTAAGAGAATTTTAAGAAGTATCAATAGCAGAAAGTCAAAAGTTTTTTTACATCTACTTTTTTTCTGTATTTTTTTTTATCTCTGTATTTTTTTTCTGTATCTACTTTTTTCTTATCTGCATTTTTTTTATTTTTAAAAAAAGGTATTTATTTACAAAATCCTAAAAGTTGAAATCCCTTAAAAAATTTATTAATATACTTCCTTGAAAAAAGAGACCATTAAATTTAACCAGTTGAGAATAATCCTAACGAAGTAATAGTAATCAGAATAGTGGTAATAGTGTCAATAATAATAATTTTTAATAGAGTAATCAGAGTTAAACCTATAAACACATAATTGTTGTAAGTAGTAATTATTTTAGTAAATAATAAATTTTTCTTAAAATTGGATCAGAATATAAAAACTGTGTTTTTAAGGGATGTAGGCTTATTTTTACAAAAAGGGCAAAGAGTTTGTATTTATAGGGATCAAAAGGCAGATAGGGTGAGCAGTCCTTCAAAAAACACTTAGGGCGAACACTGTAACTTTCATGATGTAATAAATATTTTAGACAATTGTCCTCTATTCAACTGAATATTTGTATTAAAAGATTTCTTGTTACAGAAAATTAATTGAAATGCATTTAATCCCCATGTTTTAGTTCTACACATATCTACCTTTTAAATAATGATGTTTACATATCTATTACAATGAAAAGTATTTTATTTTATAATGTGTTCTAAAAAATAAAATTGTTCGTATAAAATTAAATAAAAACTACTGATATATATATTTTATTATGTCTTAGCTCTGTGAAAGGTAATTTACCCAAACTCGGAGAGAGAGTTTTGGTTGAAGCAACTTATAATCCTAATACACCATTTAATCGTAATGCTACCAGAGTTCAAGTTCTGCCTAATCAGGTACAGTTAAAATATAGATACTGATTATGTTTTTTTAAGTAATTAATTAAATTTAACATATTTATCAAATGCTCCTTGTTAATATTTCATAATTTATTATTAGCTTCAACCTAATAATGGCCAGTCTGGACTAGGACAACAGAATCAGTCAGCTGTAGTGATGGCTGCTGCAGCAAGAGTCTCTATGGGTCTTAATGTCTCACAAAATATGGCTATTGCTAGTATGGCAAATAATCAGAATGCTTTTTCAAATGCTGCCCAACAAAATAGATGGCAAGTTCAACAAGAGATGGCTGTAATGGAATCTTTAGGTATCTATGCTTATTTTTGATTTAACATATTTTTTAGTGGTGTGAACAGAATCTGCTGAAGACATTCTAAATTCTAGTGAATGCTAGTTTTTCTCATTATAATATGTGCAGTAGCATATTAGGTGTATCAGGAAAACTCTGGATTACACTTTTCTAGTCAAAAAAGACTTCCTATATTGGTGTGTAGTTGTTAAATATTTCAAGGTGTCTGTGTACATAAATTTATTTTACTATGTCAGCTGTCCAATGTTCTTTGTTTTTAAACTAACTTTATTTATTGGTCATTAAAGTTACAAAAATTACTTTTAGTTTAGCTTGTTATATGTTTACTGAAAACTCATACCTTAACAAGCAATAAGGATTTAGTCCAAGAATAACACTGCTCTGTAATGTTTCGAAAATCGGTGTATTCCGGGTGAGACCAAGAACTATCCGGTTTTGCTTCCATCTCCGTGATGTGAGTCTATATTGGCCTGCAAATGTTGTAGTGTTATAGAGGAAAAAGAAAACTACATTTAAGGATGAACGAAAACATTCTATGGATCCCAGGACAAATATTATTGCGAGCCCCTTCTTCAAAGCACAAAAAGTTTTATTTTCATGTCTTGTGAAATTTTTGTAGACCTTTTTAAAAAAATTGTAGATTTTAAATAGATATAAAGAAATTTTCTGCAATTTTTTTTTAAATGACTGAGTATTTTGACTTTTTCTAGAAAAAAATTGAATATTGTACACAGGAATGATGTATTGTACTCAATCAAACAATGAATATCTTCAGGTGTCTGTCCAGGCTGAATTTACTACCGTTTAGCGGTACCTTCACAAGTTCAACTTTAAGAATAACGGTAGTTTCACAAATTCAACTTTTGGAAAAACGGTAGTTTCGCAAAATACTTTTTCTTAAAATTTTATCTTTGTATCCCTTAAGAAACGATAAATCCATATTATTGAGTTGATTTTTTAAATATAATTTTTAATTTTTCACAAATTATGTCTAAATTTTCACAAAATAGGTACCTCTCTGAAAAACCTAGACAGACTCCTNTTTGTATCCCTTAAGAAACGATAAATCCATATTATTGAGTTGATTTTTTTTAAATATAATTTTTAATTTTTCACAAATTATGTCTAAATTTTCACAAAATAGGTACCTCTCTGAGAAACCTAGACAGACTCCTGATCTTGATTAAATGCAATAGTTTCTAGTCCGAACAGTTTAGCTAGAATACTAATAGGCATTTGAATATTAGCTACCCCCTTACTCCCCTTTCCTCTAAATGTAATTATTCATTTAAAAACTTTTATTTTTTTACCTAATTCTCTTACCAGAAAAACAAATCAGTTAAAGGAAATACAGTACACTCTTATCCGTGCACGGATTATCCGGTTTGCGGATTATCCGTGCTCATTCCGGAGTCACCCCAAAAATATAAAGAGAAACATTTTCAAGATTAAAAAAATTTGATTAATGAAGTTATAACACTACAAAATTTTTGGAAGCAATATTCGTTATTGGATTGCAGTATATGGAATATCAGCGGCATGGTCGTCAAGATAAAATCGTCTACGTTATCACCATCTTGGAGAAAGATCATACCGCTTGACGAACAATCCTCTTCAGATGTTCAAGAAAAATATAATAACAGTATTCTCGAACAAGCAAAAGAAATCTAAGGTTTCGAAATTCTTGATGAAGAAAATTTAGAAGATTGATTTCAAAGTGATGCATGTGAGCCTGGCTCCCAGTATTTGACTGATGAAGACATCGTTATGTTGTTAAATCAAGTAGTGATGATAGTAACTGATGCAGAAGATGTAGTAAATGAATGAAATACAATTTCTCATTCTGCTGCTCTGGGGAAACTTTATTAGATTATGTGGGAGAATTTGATTACGGTGACATTACTGCGGCTGGTAAAATATGTGTATCGATATATGACGAAGACGCACTACACATTTTTTAATAAGGAAAATTCCTAGTTTGATGTTATGCATGCAAATGTCAGTAATTTTTATATTTTTTGTACTGCTATTGAATTTTTCTTTAATAAAAGTTTTCGGATTATCCGTGTTTTTCGATTTTCCGTGCGACCTGTCCCAGTGATTAACCCGGATAATCGGGAGTGCACTGTATATTAAATTAGAACACAAAAAATTAACACAGAATTCTAAAGTTTCAGGCTTCAACCCGGAGGAAGATTCTTGTACATAGATGTCTATTCAAGCATGCCTTTATTTGTATTCACATTTTGTTTTTATTCAGAGTCGCAAAAAAATTAAATAATTAATATCTGTGATTCTGTTTATGCTCTAAAGTGTGATAAATATGCGAAACATTGCCAGGGAGTTTCGGAAAAAAGTTTCGACATATCCCTGTGCCTTGTAATTCTCCATCACAAGAAATTAAAAAAAAGTTGCCCCCAGCAGATTTATGAAGCTTGATATAAACCAAACTTTATCAGAAAAAAAACAAACATTAACTTAACTTCTTTTTCAATCACATTTTTTTCTAGTCATAAAGTATTCACTTTTTACGTATATCTTTCGAGAAAAGAAGTATATTATTTTAAATAGGGCCCCACATTATGTGAAAAAGATCTTGGACATTTGGAAGTCTGGAAGTTTCCAAAGTCTAGCAAAATCACTGGATATTTATTTTGATATTCAAGGGTTTTATTAGACACATTGTGTTATATTCACTTTATATTTCAATTTATACTGAGTGTGTTCTTGGTATTAAATTGTTTTATATTCACTAGGTCAACAGCAACAGCGCTTGAACATGCAACACAATGCTCAACATGCTTGGATTCCTGAAATGGAGTATGGTGATTTAATTGATAATAAAAGTAAGTTTACTAACTAAATAACTAGATTATTTTTTTTTTATATTTAAAAGCATGTATACCATTTTTTTTGTGCATAAAATTTAAATATAATTAAATATAGCTAATTGATTAAAATATAAATATAGCTAATTGATTAAAATATAAATATAGCTCAATTGTTGAAAAAGTGCTAATTAAATTTAATTTTTAATGCATTTTGCTTTTAAATTTTTTTAACGAGAATTTGCTTTTATTTAAGCTATGAGAATATCTAATATGGGTAGAAGACACAACTCTCCACCATTACCTCGCCGGGAAAGAGAACGAGAAAGAGATATTAGAAGAGAAGAGAGACGTGATCGTTATCGTGAAAGAGAACGCTACTCTCCACCTGCTAGAAAGCGCTCCCGTTCTCCACGTCGCCCAAGTCGTAGTCCACCTCGAAGAAGGCCCAGAATTGTACCTAGATATACGGTCCAAATTCCAAAAATTTCCTTAGATTTGTAAGTCATGCTCTAATTCATGAAAAATTGACTAAACTTAGTTAATGCCATCATCTAATTATATGCAATTTTTTGCTCTTAAAACCTTATTTTCTATTCTCCACCCTTTCTCTTCTTACCTGTACTTGAAGTGGTAGTGATATAATCCAAAATTATATTTAATTTTCGCCTTTTGAATAATCTTTAAAACACTTATTGTATGATGGCTTTAAATTTAGTTTGCATCTAGAAATACTTAATGAATAAATAAATAAGGAAAAAATGTTTTTAAGCGGGTAATCTAAAATCAGATTTTCAGCCTGTAAAAGTCAATATATTGTTGCTAACTTTGCAATTGTATTAAAGTCAAAAAATATATAAATTAAAGAAAAATAAGTGAAGTAAGGAGAAATATATATCATATTTGAATTAGTTGTTGAATGTTATTATTTTATAGCATAAAAAAAATGTGCGCAAGATGAGCAAAAAAAAAAAAAAAAAAAAACGAAATACCTNAAAAAAAAAAGCCCAGATATTTTTAAGAATCCTCATCTAACAATAATGTTACTTTTATGTGATGTTTCATGAGTGTTTATTTCATAATTATTTTGATAACTTTAAATCATTTTAAAGATCTCTGATATTTGAGTTTAAATAATTTCCAAGTGAAAAAAAACATGAAAAAATGAAAAAATATGGGTTTTAAACTTAATTGTAATTTGAAGGGAATTTATATTTTTTAAATCATAATGAATAAATTACTACTGACATGAAAGGAATGAATGAAAATAAATTCTTTTTACTAAAATGCTTAGTGGTATGTCAAAATAACTACTTTAAAAAAAAAACAAATAGAAAGAGAATGAAGTATTTATATTTATAAAAATTGATTTGAATATTTACGATATATAAATATTTTTTTAGGAAAACTGGGAATGTGATGGAGTTGCGAAAACGTTACTCCAATCTCTACATTCCTTCAGACTTTTGTGCTGCTAACTTTTTGTGGCACGAAGCCTTTCCTTCCCACAGACCATTTTCAATGAATCATCCTTGCAATTTTCACATCGTAGGTAAAGACAGTGAGCCTCTGCTTGATAATGATTCAGTATTAGAACCCTCAGATGCTGATTATACTTACAGTGCTAAAGTAAGTACTTAAATTCACATTTTGTGCAGTAGGCACCTGACTAATAAAAAGTTCAAAAAGTAAGAACAGCTGTAAAAAGTTCAAAATGTAAAAACTTGTTATCCATTCATAACACTTTAATATTTCGGTGATTTTATGGATTTGGACTTAATAGCGAAAAACCTGGCCCTGGACAGGTGCTTGCAAAAGGGATTCCCTGCCTCAGCGATAAGTGTACTTTTGCAACTCCTGTTGTGAAAAAGTTAATAATTTATTTTAAAATGTCGTAACATGTATCTTTAATTGCATTGTAAATAGGATAAAAAATGTGGAACTTTTTATCCTGCTATTTAATAATCTGGCGCAATATTCTACCACATTAGACCTAATAGTCAGGAGCCAGCTGTACTTTTCTCCAAATTCATCATTATTTTTAAGTTTGGGCTTTATTTTTGTTATTAATTTGTTTATTCATGTTACATTATTATAGTCTCAAAACTTTATTTTGATTTATCAAAAAATGAGATTCTGTTCCTGCTTGTGACACAAACAAATTAATTTTCAATTTTAGTTAAAAGATAATAGAATTTTGGGACGATGTATCCAGTCTGAAATATCTTTTACTAAATTTGAATACTTAAAGGTAATTTTATTGAGATTTATTGTTTGAGTTGACTACTCGTTCTCCATTGTTTTTTTTTTGGTCAACTTATAAAAGGTATAAAACTTTTTTTTTCATGATCGCTTTCATGAATTTGAAGTATCTTGTTATTCTTATATAACATATCACTCAATAAGTCTCTGGTTTAGTTAAGATTTTTTTTTAGAAATTCGACTTTATTCGTCAATATACTCCCCTTCAAGAAAGATAGATTCATTCCGCTTTTTGATACCTTTTTTGTAGAATGATTTGTATTTGTTCTCAAAATAGGCCCCAAGAGTTGCAAAAACAACTTTTGAGCTAAATTTCTTTCCCTGAAGCATCTTTTTGAGATTTACAAAGAACCAGTAGTCGCTAGACGACAGATCTGGAGAGTATGGTGGATGGGGAAGTAATTCAAAGCATAATTCATTAAATGTAACTGTTGTTTTCACCGACTTGTGACAAGGGGCATTGTCTTGGTGAAGCAGAACTTTCTTTTCTTTGCATGTGAGGCTGATTTTTCTTGATTTCCTTGCTGAGGCGATTCAATAATACTATGTAATATTTATTATTGATAGTTTTATCATTTTAAGAAATACTGAGCATCTCAAAATACGGAGGCCATAACCTTGCCAGCTGAATTTGAGTTTTTAGTTGCTTTGGACAACTTTAATCGGCTGTTGTCCGCTCAGCTGTTTTGATTCATTAGTGTAGTAGCGGATCCATTGCCGCATTCTGACAAAAGAAGCCTTTTATCTTGATTTAAAAGTTCCAAAGGAAGTTCTGAATCATCGACACATTGTTCTTTTTAGTTCGGTGCGAGTAAACGTTGCACCCATTTCAAAAGCAACTTCAAGCGCATACTGAAATTTTTATGTAAAATCGTAAACAAACTGCCTTCTGATATCCTTTAGGTGGCAGCTGTCTCTCACTTCACTTTAGCATCTTTCAAAACTATTTTATGAACTTTTTTGATATTTTCTGGAACAACGGTTGAATTTATGACCAGAGCGTTCAGCTTCATCTGTGTCTTTATAACCGTGTTTAAATTCAGATACCAGTCACAGTTGATTTCCCCTGTTGCAGAGTCTCCATAATACTTATCTAACCACTATTTATTTTTCCCCTTCAGAAGCAATACTTAATCAATATTTGAAATTATTTTTTATCTATTGTTTTATAAATTATAAAACTAGGTCACTAAAACCACTTGTAACCTGTAAACTATTAATCAAAATGTCATGAAATTTTGAAAATTATCATTTGAAAGTTGATACTGCTCTGAAATCATATGATTCTGTTAGCAGTAGTGCTATTTATGTGTCTCATCGGAGATTTATTGAGTGGTCTGTTATATCATTTTATTCATTATTTCTTGCATATTACCAACCAAACTAAATACAAAAGTTATTAACTTGATATTGAAAAAGTGATAATAAAAGAATAAATTCTATTAGAAATGCTTCGTTAACATGCTTCGCTTTAGTTAAAACAGAAAAATTCGTAATTCATAATGTTTTCTTGTATGTGGGTAAATAATGTTTGTGTGTAAATTTATTTTTCTTCAGGTTATGCTTATGTCGATGCCCCCATTAAATGATATATTTCGGAAATCATGTGCTCTTGCGGAAGACGGAGATGATGTAAAGGAAAACTTTGTCCATCCTACTCGACTGATCAGCTTTCTTGTTGGTCTGAAAGGTAAAAATGAAACAGTTGCGATAGGGGGACCATGGTCTCCTTCTTTGGATGGGGCAAATCCTGATAAAGATCCAAGTGTTTTGGTAAAAACAGCTATTCGTACTTGCAAAGCTTTGACTGGAATAGACCTGAGCCACTGCAGTCAGTGGTAAGTTTTGTGAGTTGTTTGTTTAAACACTAACTCATATGTATTACTATTTTTCTCATTAATATGCAAACTTGTACAAAAATTTAGATTTGAATTACATGTACAAATATTTAATTGTAGCATAAATCTTTTACAGCATTCTACAGACTATTAAGTTGGGCGGATAAATGCATCTTAAAATCAATTCTGAAATTTGTGAATTTTAAATTAGTCTCATATCTACTTATGCATAACTAATTTATATATTTTACTATAGTAACTCACTTCTGGTTTAAAATAAATGTAAATAATTTTTTCGTTTCCATTTAGGATTTTCTCTGAATTCTTTTTTTAAAGTTGACCTCATTTTCTCAGTTGTATTTGGTGTAATCAGCGTAATATATTTCAACATGATGTAGTCTATGCTATAAAATTAGTAAATTTTGTAAGATTTTTCTATGCACGTATTTGTTATGAAAACAATTGTTTTTGAAATCATTAATTTTTGTGATTTGCCTTATCATTTTTTTCTTCAAAATTTAGTTATTTTTAATATGCTGCAATATTTAGATGATTTAGAATATAATTGAATGTAACATAAACTCTATGATGTAATTAAATCTTTCTAATATTCCTATTAGTTACGGAGTTCAGGTTTTCATTAAATAATAAATGTTTTTTTTTTTGAAGTAATTTTTTTTATTGATTCATCAAAAGAAATTTTGTTTACCATGCTATCAGTCAAGATTCTAAAGTGAAGTTACTCAACATTAACTTTTTTTTTTGTAATTTTTCATCACACATTCACAACTCTCTCTCTTTTTATTTTATAAATCTATCAGTTTAAAGTCTAAATTAATTCTGTGCCCTGAGTATTTCTTGCAATTAAGGCCAGTTTATAACCCCAATACTTGAAGGGAAAAGAAGGTGAGAGTAACCTAAGTTTTATTTTTAGTTTTTATAAAATCTCAAGTGTGTTCTTATTCTTTAAAAAATATCAATAAAAGCATAGATGTTTATGTAAATTCAATTTTTTTGATATGTTTGGTACAAAACTAGTTCCCTTAATCTAAATTCCAGTGAAATCTCTTTTGTATTTTATTATATTTGCAAAACACTTTTAAAATTCAAAATGTTTTTATTTTTTTTTAAACAGTTTATAATTAAGAAAATAATTTTGTAACATCCTGGTTCTCCAATTTTACGCAGTAAAAATTAGGTATTATAAGATATATATGAGATATATTAATAATTATTAGACCTAGGAATGGTAAACAGAAACGATCATTTTTGGTTTGTGAATTGGAATGTGTTATTTTTAAATTATGCAGAAGTGTTAAAAGAACTAAGATTTGTGCTGACCTTGAACTAGATGGAAGGAATAGGTTAGAGGACCTAAAGTTACTTAAAATTACCAATTACGAGATAAAGACAATGAACGGAAAGGAATGGTCCTAACTTTTATAGGAGGCAAGAGCTGAAGGGCCGAGATGGTGATAAACAATTGTGTTTTTTTCCTCCTTGTAGAATGAAGTGATATAATGATTAAAATCAAAATTACATTTTACTCATATACAGTGAACTCTCCCTACTACGATATCCGATACAACAGTAACTCCCTCTATTACAATAATGTTTCATGGTCCCGGCAAACTAGCATATGAATTAATGTTATCCACCTCTCAATATTGCGACATTATCTGAAGCAATAAACCCCTGTAAAACGATTTTTTCCCTTCAAATTTCAACCTTATTTTCTCCATTTATTATTGGTTTTAAAATAATGTAAAAAATTCTTATTTTATCATATTTTGCCCTTTTTTCGGTCTTTTCTGACAAGAGAAGTCTCACTGCTGCTTATTTCTTTTCACCACCGTGAATGGCTTTTGTATTCAGATTTTAATACCGTATCCTCGATGTACGTAGACCACTCCAAGACCATCCATTCTTAGAATTGTCTCCCTTATCTTAAGAAGTCACATATGTAACATTCCTATCTGATTTCATATTTAACCATAATTACCACTCTACAGATTAAATTTTTATATAATAAATATATAGATTTATAGTTAATACTTATATAACATTAAAATTTAAAAAAAATCTTATTGTCTCCCCAACGTATGTAGACTCTCGTTGTAATAATATATCCTTCTGCAACAATATAAAATATTTATTTGGTCTCCAAAATATTGTTGTAGCTAGGTTTTACTGTATTTCTTTTATAAAGATTAATAAACCTTTAACCAAGGTAATAAATTCCATTGAATTTCAAGTTCAATCATAGCATTCTGAATAAATTTTTATTTTTGTATTTGATACATTAGAGACTCACATGAATTCTGTTTTACAACACTTAGCCCACCTGAAATTTTGTTACTCATTCATGTGGCTATATTGTTTCTGTGAGATTTCGTCCCTTTATTCATGGAAACTTCTGTTTCACAGTATTTGAATGAAATATTTGTCAGTTTTTCTTTTTCTTCTTTTATATTTGGTAATAATTCAAAATATGGCTGTTACAAATATAGAAGAGTTGTTTTAGTATTAAAGAGTAGTGTTAGTGTATGTTAGAAGTGATGAAATAAGAAGATTAACACTTTGTAATAATCATGATCACTATTTTTGCAAACCTCTGTAAGGTTCCACAGATCAACAACATTAATTGCACTCTTCAACAAACATATCAAGTCAAAATTCTAGCATTTGTGTTGTTTGTGTTGTGTAAATTTGTGTTGTTTGTTTACACATGTTTAGATGAATGCACAATCTGCCACAAGGGAATGGGCTTATCAAATGTATCTGACTGCTTCTCTTTATGTCATATAATTTTAAATCAGAGATTATCATAATAGTTGAGTTTTTGTTAAACTGTGTTGGTAATGACATTAGGTAAATTATGTGGGTTTTGGAATAGAACTGTTCTTCTGTTTGGTATAAACTCATTCTTCAATGCTATTTTCCTACCTCTAATTTGCTTTGCTAATTGTTTGTTGCTGATTTCTGTTATTATAATTGTTTTCCACCTACCAGTATGTTGAGCTTATGAGTTACCTTTTGATGTTCGTCATGTTACTTATGCATTAAGTGGTATTTATTATTAAAGTAATTATTAAATCATAAGTGTCTAAAATTTTTAATTTATGTAAAATTAGACTGTCCCTCATCATACGGAACTGTGTATTCTCCTCTGTGGTGGAGTTACTGCATTGTCTTTGTGACACTACATTTTCGCGTTTTTGGATAAAACACGTGGCAAACAAACAAAAAAAAAAACCTTGTTGCATTTAGTAAAGTACTAAAGTTTCTCCTTTTAGAAACTAAATAATTATAATAATTTTATAAGACACTTTTTATTTTATTCTAACTCTAATTCAGTGAGTTTTTAAAAATCATTAAAATAATAATGTATTTAAATAGTAATTATTACAAAATTGATTATAACACTGGAATAAAGCGTAATAAATGTTTCCATTTTATTTAAAAAAATATAGTTTTCCTCAAAATTCATGTAATTATGCATTTCATTAATTTATTTTTGATAAATTAGGCAAATTAAAGAAACAGTTTCTTACATCATCCACTTAAGACTATCTATAACTATTTAAAATTTTATTAAGTTATAGTCTTTTGAGTTTCCCAAATAAACTTGTCACATTTCAGTGATATTAAAATGTTTTCTATGTTTGAGTGAAAAAAGAATTATTAATATAAAATCAATGCTCTGGAAATAGTTTAAATAATATCTCATGTATACTTAAGTTATTCTTTATACTCTTAAATGTAGTCTTAATATGATTCCAAAAATATGTGCAACTGCATCTAATGATTGTATAATCCTCTTCTTAATGTTCTACAAATGTGTGCTTCTATCAGATATATAGATACTTATAAATTATTATTCTTGCAGCGTAAAATCAAATATTATACAGTTAGAATGTGTCACAAATCTTTCAGACTTTAAGAAATACAATTTTTTTTTTACACAAGTAGTTTTAGTGGATTATGTTTGGTAATTCTGTTAACTTGGTAATTGAAATTAACAATGATCTGGTGAACAAGTTTTGTACCATTTTAAATTATTTATTGGATTACATTTTATGTGTGAATTTTATGCTCTATAAATGTTGCTTAAAGCAAGGAATTAGATGAAAAAATTTCAAAAAAATTGCTCTCATTTACCATGACTTCAGTTTGAATATCTTTTCATTGGCAAAAGATTTTGATTTTACTCCATATTTGGTTAAAAAAAAAGCAAATGAAGTCATTTTTTGAAAATAATATCTGATTTCATTTTAAAATAAGTTATAATTATTTTTTAAGTATGTTTAAATATGTGTCATGAATTTTCTCTTGTTTTGTCTTTAGCTATAAGCAACATTTAAAATATTGATTAAGAGACTAAATTCCTATGCTTTTATTTCATACTTAATTTATATGCATTGTTAAAAATAGACAATTCTCAATAGAATTGCAACAAAATTTAATATATATTTTAAAGTTTCTATAGATTCTTAAAAATCGAAACATATATACATGATTTTGAGTGAAAAAATAAAAATATTTTAAAAAATTAAGAAATATAGCTCAATAAGTTAGATTTTATGAGTTTATTTTTGAGTTGCAAATCTTACTTTTATTATGTAAGTAACAAATTAGCAACTCTAAAAGAACTTACTAATTACTGAATTTTTTTAAAAATAACAATGGATATAGATTTGTTATATGAATAAGAACACTATTTGATTTGAGGCTGCCAACTTTAATTAGTAAAAATAAATAAATAAAATTAGCATCATTATTTTAAATTTTCAGCGTGATTCATCCAATATTTGATTTAAAGTCAAAATTTATATGGAAAAATATATTAGTTGCACAGCATTTTCAGTTTTGGATTTGAGTGTGTTTTGTTGAATTTAATGTCAAAACTTGTTTAAAGAAAATTTAGCATGAATAACAATTTTGTTGGCAGCCTCAAAATGGCTGAGCGTGGGAGGCTTTGTGGCCTCCAGTTTTTGTCCTCAAGCATACATAGCTGTCGTTCTGTCTTTCTTTGACACCCTCAGGTATCGATTTGCTGAGATCCACTACCGAAGGGGAGATTCTTCGAGCCACAAAGGCCGCGGAATGCGCGTCGAAACTGTGATTCTTTTCGTCCCCGATGTGTGGAGCTGCCTACCCACACGTGTTGAGTGGGATGGCATGATTGCTACTGGATGTTGCAAAAAACCGCTTCCTCAGCGGAAGGTGCCAGATGAGACTTTGGATGATCCTGATGCCCAGGCACTGATACATTATATGGTTTCCTTTCTTTGTTTCAATTTCTTTTACTCTAGATTGTGCAACTCGGCACCATCCTTTGCATTGATTGGCTGTGTTCATCAGAATGTTTAAAATATAAAGACAATAAGTGCCAACTAACTCTAGTCTTAAAATCAAAGCAAACACTAATATTAATTTTATATTGCATACTTCTGTATGTCTTTGAAAAAATAAGTTGAATGAAAGTTTTTTAAGTTTCTATTTTCTATTTTATAATTGTTGACTGTTACAATTAAAGGATGCATTTTATTTTAATCAAGCATTGCGTTTGTAAATTTAGAACTCTATTAAGTAATCATTTTTGTAAATGTGTAAATTTAACAGAGCTTTTGGGACTTAAATTTTATTTGCAGTTTTATTATATGATGGTTTTTAAAAACTATTTACTTGTCTAATGTTTATAAAATATTTTATAAAGATGTTTTTAAAATGTTTATAAAATAAATTAGAAAGAAAAGTTATGGATTAATAAGAAAAATGTATTATGTTTTCTAAATTAATAAGAAGGCTAAATTTATATACATTTGAAAATTAAACATTGGAATGTAAATGGTTTTAAATATGTATTGGTTCTTTTCTGCAATTGCTCTATTTCATTTATTTAAATGAACTATTCTTTTCATATTTGGATCATAAATATCATAAATTATTTTCCTAACTTTTTATCAAATGTTGATTATGCAGCAATGATACATATTTTTAACTGAATTTCTTGATACATAGCATTATCACATTTTCATATGCCCTTAATTTATGCATTATCATAATAACTAATTATTTAAAAAAATATTTTTAATTATTTCCAATTTATTTTTCAACCTGAATTGAAAATTTATAAATGATACAAATATGATCAGAATGTTATGAATTTTTAAAGGTATATATTTCAGTAATAAAGTGGCCTAACACTATAAGAAACATTTATAATTGTTGTTATATTAAATTTCTCAATGGGTAACTTCTTTTAAAGCATTATACCCTAATTTAAAAATTTAAACGCTTTAAAATATAAAATTATTTGAAGATAAATTATTAAAAAAAAAAGATTTAGAAAAAAAGATTGAAAAGATTACTAAAAAATTCCTTTTGTCTCTAAGCCCACTTGTTTTTACCAGTCAAGATCTTAAAAGCCTAAAATATTGTAACCATTCTATTGTTTTAAAAAATTACTTATGCAAGACTTAAAAATAGGGGCCAAAAATTCAAATAAATATTGCATCTTAAGGAATTACTACAAATTAGAGGGCATTAACTAAAGATTTGGTTTATTTTATATATTTTTTGAATAAATTTACATTGGATGTAATTATTTAACAGAACTTTTTATTCTATACAACTGTTGATTCTTCGAACTTTTCATTTAAAATGTATTTCTAATATACATTCAACTGCATTATTTAATCAAGTCACAGCCATTATTTAATCATTTTGTTTTTATAAAATTATAAATTTTGTGAATGATATAGTTCATGATAATAAATTTCGACAATAGTTGTACAAGTTTCATGTATGTGTAAAATTTTTGTTTTTAATGATGAGTATCATTATTTATTATTCTGAAACACTAATTTTTTTAAGAAAACTTTTTTTTAATGTTTACTTAAAACTAGTTTTTTAATAAAGAAAATTATTAAGTAATTAAGTTTTTAATTGTAAATTGCAATATAATAAATAAATAAAAGATACTAGTATGATGACCATAAAATTAGGTGATATTTAGACCAAGGGAATAATACATAAAATAAGTTGCTTTAGTTTTAATTATTAAAATATCACTATAAATTGTAAAGCTATTAGATGGCAACTCCTTACATTTAGAGTAGCTGCCATTTTCATATTTTTTTACCTAACATATTCCCAAATCTACATTTCCCTTAAACAAATAAACATTATTGGCAAGCTTTATTCAAAACATTTTAATTTAAAATGTATTGATGTAATTAAATTGAAGGAAATACTAGGCCTTGTTTCGAAATTATTTTTGTGTATTACAAGCCTTATTCAGATTTTAAAATAAGTCTAATGACATCCAATGATTTAGTGAGTTATTTAAAAAAAATTTCAAATTCTTTTATTTAATGTTTTCTAATTTGTAGAAAAATAATGAACCATCTTCTAGGTTTGTAAGAAATGAAGAACAAAAAATAAGTATTGTCTTCTTATTTTGCGAAAGAAATTTTTTTTTCTCTAAAAAAATTTTGTTCCTCATTTCTTAGTTTTATATTTTATAGTCCCAAAAGCTTTGATTTAAATAGTTTTATTGTCAGCAATTAGATTATTGAAACTTAAAAGCTGTAGTTAGCTAAATTTTGAGTCTTGAATATCTTCCAAATTAATTTTTTTATCTTTTGAGCATAGCCAGTCAATGTGCATTGTTAATGAAATTTTTTTCTTTCTCTTAAAAGGACTGAAAGGACATCATGGACTATTAATCATCATGGACCAGGGAAAAGTTGTGTAATGACTAAATGTATGAAAATTCTGTTATTTTTATTTCGCAGGATGTTGGAGATACACTTCATTTGCTTTTATTGCAAATCGAAAAAAATAATAGCTATTTGAAATGGAAAAGTTGGGTTTGCTTTGTAATTTTTTAGAAACCATTAGTGCTATTTGAAATCAGTGTTTCTCAATCTGTGTTGTCTATATATTTTTGATGCTATTTCGTTTTGTAGCATTGGTTAAAAAATTTTCTAATAATCTTTGAAATGGTATTAAATTTGCATTTTGAAAATTAATTTATGTAAAGAATTATTATTTCTTTAAAATAAATTAGAAAAAATGAAATAAGTAACTTAATATTGCACGGAAATTGATTAAAATATATCTTGAAAATTTAAGTTCAGTCGATTTTTTTTTAAACATTTAAACTTGTTACTATATTTAACTTTTCTATATTATTTTATAAACCATTTTCTTAAGTTTTAACTAATTTTGTTGTGTTTTGTATTTACTAAAAAAAAATTGAGGAACTCTGGTTTATATAAATTGATAAAGTTCATTTGGCAATGACGTTAGTTTTCACAACTTTATTTTTATTGTATAGGACGAAGATAATATGGATACGGAGAAAAAGGAACCGACTCATTTCTCCGAATTAGATCCTAAAACAATAAAAGTAAGTTTAAATAAATGTGGATTTAAGACTTTCCTTATCTTTTTGAAAATTTGTAATTTGTATCGCCTCTTTTATGCTTAGTAATTAATTAGAATACCTATAAACTATGTATCTTGGTTTGATTGTTCTTAAATGTATAAGTTAAAACAATATACGCTTAACTATACATGTTTGAAACTATACATTAAAATTAGATTGTAATAAAAGCACTTGTATTAGATTGTAATAAAAGTGCTTGTGTAAATAATTTCAAGCAATAGCTGTTTTATGAAAAAATGTTTTTTCTTCAGTAGTTCTCTGGTAATTCTCAGTAATTCTCTGTAAATATATATGAAACAAGTACATTTTTTTAGCAAGATTAGACTATCTTGTATAAAGATATACCAGTGTATCATTGTACTCTTCTATATTATTTCGATTAGCAATTTTAATACTTGCATATTTTGAAAATATGTTCATTTTATATCTATACCTTATAATTTGACTTATTTTAAGCAACGACCTTTTTGGACAAAAATCGTATAAAAATTTTGTTTCGAAACAAAATTATTTTTACATGAAAGAGTTTTTTCGAAAACTATTTTTCTACACAGTTGCCACCATTAATCAGAAACTTAATGTCATTTTTCATAATATATTATTAACATTATATATAAAAACAGAAATTAAGATCAAAAATTTCTAAGTATAATAGAAACTATATTAATAGCATTCCTCTTTATCCAATTTTAAATTGAATCGAACAAACATTGTTACTTTGTTGAGTTATTTTGTTTAGAAAAAAAAAAACATTTAAAATTGATTAAATGTAAAATTTAATCAATGGATTCAGTTTTTACATAATCTAACACTTAAAAGCCTTTTTAAGCTAAGCTGGACATTATATTGAGAGGCTATGTAAAAATTATGACGTTGATTTTAGAAAAGTATATTACATAGGAAGTGAATCTTTAGTTCCTTATACATATCGATAGAATTCTGAGTTTGCTGTTGTAAATGCTACTGTACCCGTTCTCTGAGAACTGCGTATAGATTAAAATCATTCTTATCTAATTGTAGTAGATAAATTAAGATTAAATATAAATTTCTATAATGTGAAGAAGATATTGTAAAGAAGGATTAATTTTATAGGTGAATGATTTGAAAGATGAATTGGAAGCTCGAAATCTTAGTACAAAAGGTCTGAAGTCTCAACTTATAGCTCGATTAACTAAAGCTCTCAAGACGGAATCAGAGAAGGAATCAGAAGAAAAAACTGAAGAGCAAAATTCTGAAGGGAATGAAGAGGAAGCAGTTGAAGAAATTGAAGAAGAAGAGAAAAAGAAAGATAAAGTATGTTATTTTTTTTAATGAGTCAATTAAGAGCAATAGCTCTATTCATTAATAGTTTCAAAATATTAATTAGTGCTCAATTGTTTAGCTCAGGGACTTTCAAATCCTAACTTTTCATGTTACGGTACCTTTGCAAGTCATATAATATTAGCTTCCGGTATAATTATTATTTAATGAACGTATGTTTCATTTATGTAAGACTATGAAACAGAAGTGGTGACACTATAAACATCTTAAAGTATTAAGAACACCATGTTTTTTGAAAAGCCAATTAAGTTTCAATAATTTTGGCTGTATTTTTTTATCATAATTATAGTTGTATTTAGTAAAAATATTCTACATGATTTAATAGCTAATAAAATGTCCCCAATGACAAAAATAAACTTGCACCAGCTTTTGACATTGTTTGTCAGGTTTCAACAGTTAGTGCCAGTTTTTGACGTGTCATGTCAAAATCCAACTCTGCCTTACTTTCAATTTCTTCTATTTTTTCCCCTCTAATTTATTTAACAGTGTTAAATTTAATGAACTGGACGAACAAGTGGGAAACTTACATGGCTAGTGAATGATATGATGATGACTAAAATATTGCTCCACAATGAAAATACATTTTCTTTTTGCTTTTTCCTGAATTTTAGAAGATTTGTTAAAAGTCAACTTGGTTAAAATTTTAAGACTAAATGAAGAAGTTAGTCTTAAAGTTTTACTTTTAACTTATAGGGAAAACCCCAGTGTAGGTCTTTGAGTTTTACTTCCATTCTCTAGATTTTGCCTGATTTTATCATTTTGGAAATTGAAAAAGAAAGAAGGAAAACGCTTTTGTAATAATGTTATTGTGGCAACGTTGTGCTTTAAAACATTAAGAAAAAAAAAACATGTTCTATTTATTTATTATTGCTAGCAAAAAATTAAATGTGGAGGACAATAAAAATTATATAATATGTAAAGAAAAATGCTTTGCCAATCAATGTTTTAGTTCTGATAACTGAAGTAGTTAATAAATATTCATTGTAGGATGAAGAAAAAGTATCCAAAGAAGATAAAAACGTAGCTGATAAACTAAATCTTCCTGAATCACCTTGTATATTAGTTCAACCTTCTAAAACTGCAAAGAGTGGTAAATTCGATTGTGCTGTTATGTCTTTATCTCTGTTGTTGGACTACAGGCAAGAAGACAACAAGGAACATTCTTTTGAGGTAAATTTTTAAAATTTTTTATGTCAATGCAAAGATATACAGGATGTATAGGGTGGCCATAATTAAATTAAATTTGTTTAAAGCCTAATATTGAGAAAACTGCCTAACTAAACTTCACCAAATTTGCAATTCCTGTTTAGATAAGGTAATTTGATTTTTAACGAAATTATAATGATGCCGTAAATCTATTTTTGTTTTAAAATAGACTTAGCTTATAGAAAATTAACATTTACATGAATTTTAATATTGGAGTCATATTTACATTCACATTTGCATTTTACATTTACATTTTATGAAACACATTAGCAATCATGTTGCTTCTTTGGAGTAGCGTGCTGTAGGCAGATTTTAAAATTAAAATGAGGTTATTTCAAGTTTGTCATACATCTCTGAAGAATGCTTAATATTGCTTACAAATGAATGGCATGCAACTTAGTTTAGTAGGACTTAGTTTTGTAGGACTAGTCAGAAGGATAAGTATATATTTTACTCTAAAATAGCCTTACAGCACCATTTTAACCCCTTTATAAAAACCAAGTTACTCTAGTCTAACTAGTATTTACTACAAATTTGGAGGAATTAATTTCCACAGTTTTCTTGTTGTCGGGCCTTAAACACCTCTACTAAAATTATGGCCAATCTATCGAACATATCTATGTTAAAAAGGAAAGAGACATAATAGTACCTAATTCTGAATCAGACTACTGTGGAACTTGATTTTTGATTAATTAAATATTCTAATGTACTGTGTTATTTTCATCTATTTTTTAAAAAAACTTGATATTCGTCTCTTTCTAGCAGGTTATTTTCAGATGATTATTATTGAAATTAAGATTTTCTGAAGACCAATAGCATAAATCTTATAAATTAAAAGATTGTACTTACACTGTATTGTACTTACTGTATAATTATTTATTGTGTATATTTTTGTTTAAGGTTTCTCTTTTTGCTGAATTATTTAATGAAATGATGATGCGAGATTTTGGTTTCTGCATTTATCGGAGTCTCGTTGAAGCACCCGAAATCAAAGATGATGACAAAGTACGATTTTATTTAAATTCTTCAAATCAGTTTTGGACAGGTCTATGTCATTACTTTTGTTAAAATAAATTTAGGTTGCCTTAATGTTATGTGGTTCTTATAATAAAAATACTTCTAATTGTTTATTTAGCATAAATAGAAATTTAGGAGCAATATAAATCTACGACACATTTAAAAAAAAATAAAATCAAAAGAGCATTTTTAAAAGTCTTTTTGGTGAAAAATACCATGATTTCCTTGTAGGTAATAAGATCACACCTCAGAGAAAACTTGAAGAACCTATGAAGGTGAAAGGGCATAAAATTAGTTAAAAAAATTAGGAATAAAGTTATACTAAAACTTCGATAAAAGTAGTTAATTATCTGGAAAAATTGTTGAAGATTCTGGGTCTTTTTACTGAAACCTCTTTTCATAATATTTGTAATTTTCTAAGGCTAATTCTTCTTTACTGTTAATACAGCAATTATGGATTAGGAAAAAATTAGGTAGTCTAATGCTTGAATAATTTTTAAAAGGCAATTCTATGCTTATTTCAGGGTTTCTTGGTAGTTAATGATAAACAGCTTTTTTTTGTAATTTTTTTAAAGTGCTGAAAATTATAACTCTAGAGTTTGATTTGATAGCATATTTTGATGTTGGCATATTATAACTTGTTAACACAATCCATGTATTGGTATATTATATTTTGTGTACACATTAGGTAGCATATAGAAATATAATGAAGTTTAAATTGATATTGAATTGTATTTTATGACTTATATTTTTTATTAGTGTATTTTGTCTTTCAATATAATTAAGTTTTCTTAATTTATGTATTGCATTGCTGAGTGTATAATTTTTTAGAATTGTATTTCTAGGTAATCATGAAAAACTTAGGAATTTCCCCCCCTGTAATTAAATAGGAAACTGGTTAAGTATTTTCATGCTATTCACTTTATTAAGTGAGTAACATACATTAAACAGGTTCAGACTTTATTTACTTACATGCATGAATAGTGTGCTTCTTCACAAAAATGATTTCAAGACATGGATCTTTAAATTTTTTGTCACAGTTAGATGGATACAAAAATTACATTTAAATTTAAAAGATTTAATGAGATACATGGATGCGGCATTCTTGGGAACAATTAGTTGGATATTTAACATGCCAATAGTGCATATATAACTGTGTTATGTAATTTGTTATTTTTCAGAGTTTAAATTGCTTGAAATTTTTTTACCTAAAACTCATTGATTTTAACACTTAATTAAAAAAAAAAAAAAAAACGAGTTATGTCAAAAATATTTTTCATGCAGCATAATTTATAAATATATTGCTATGGTCATGATTATTTTAAAAGTCTGATTGATATTGAAAGCTTTTTTTCCAGAGAAGTAATGAGGGGGAGTAATGTAAGTAAATTATTATTTGATGGTGAAAACAGATTAATAAATAAATAAAAAAAATAAAATAAAAAAAAAATAAATTAAAAAAACACAATATGAATAAAAGTGATATAAAGCTTTTAAATTATAACTTTCCATTGGTTGTATGTAAGATATAAGCTTGAATAAAAATAGACTATGATTTTATTGATTTCATGATTAAGTTGTAATAGTTTAATATTTTTTAGCCATTTGGAGTTTGAAACATTAATTATTTTAATTATAATATTATTTATGAATAAATTTTAAAAACAATATTATAATTTAAAGAAAAATATTAAAGAAAAAAAATTATGATTCTTACCAATTCTGGTTTTTACTGAAAAATTCATTTCATTTGATTAAACTACTACTCTGGTCTCTGTTCTTTTTAACTCTCCATTTCTCTCTATTTTCTTGTTAATTATTTTGAATGCAAATTCGAGGGATCAAAATTTGATATTGTGATTATTATTATTATTCAAAAATTATCTACATTGTTAATGATTTTTTTATTACATGCCTGTATATAATTCCAGTTTTAAATTTCATTTAAGGATAAAAAGAAATTTGATAAGAAAGACGACAAGAAAGATAGAAAAGTAAGTTGAATAATTAATATATTCGCTAAATAACTATCATACATTAAATATTTCCAAAGTTATAATGAAAAAATGAATTGTTGTTAGGCTCCTTTGCTAATTTTTTTCTTTCCCAATTTGGAATTACTCAGAATCAGAGAGTTAGATGGCTGGAATTTTGAGATTTAAAAGTTACCAGGATAATTTTAAGTTGCTGGGTCATTTTGTCGAAAAATATGGCAAATGTATTTGAACACCATGGTGCTGTATTTTACTGATGAAAGGAAGTCACTTTGTCTGAATAGTATTTTTATATATCCACTTTTACACATATTTCATTAAATAATATTTTCTTCTAATAATGTTATGAGGGGAGATCTTAGATTAAATTTTTTTTAGATTGATCCCATGAAAAATATTAACTCTTCTCTTTTATTGATTTAAATGTTTTTTCATTGTGATCTTTAAAAAAATGCTTCTTCTTTAGCATATTGCCACCAACATCATTAAGACTTTTTGAAGGTCTTTGTTGTTTATATTTCATATCTTTGATGTTATCTAAACTTGGTTGTTTGACTACATTGGGATGAATAAAAATAAATTGAAAAACATTAAATATATATATTGGGTAAATAGCTTTCTAGTAAATTTTATTAGCACATTAAATTTTTTTTTCTAGTAAATTTTATTGGTAAATTTTATTAGTATAAAACTTTAAGTAACTGTTGCATTTCACTTATGTAAACATTCTGTAAGTTTTCTTACATTCATTACAAAAAAATGTTTAGAAGTAGCTTGAAACAAATTGGCAAAAATACTCATAAAAAATGATTTAATCGGCGAGAATGCATTTCTAAATTATCACAAAACCAATATCTATCGCATTTGTTGTCGCATAACCTGTACTGAGTTTTATTAACCTTCTGTTGATCCTCATTGTTAAGAATCCCCTTTTACTAAAAGGTTCGAGGGTTTGGTTAGCTCTGATAAGTTTGTATTGTTTTGTTGTAAATTAACTGATTTTAAAATTTGGTGTCAAAATATTTGGTATAAAAATCGTGAAAGTGAAATTGTTATGCCAATTTAGATTTTTTGTGTTAGTTTTCCAGTATTCTTTTTCGAACCAAGTATTTCAGATGTCTTAAGACAACTTTTATATTTTTCATTTTTTCCCACTCCCCCAATTTTTTCCCCTCCTTATTCATTGGGACATTTATAAACAAACTTGCCCTTATCAGTTATACTTGCAGATATCTTGTTGAATAGTCATTTGAATATAAATTATATTTATTTTATTCAATTTTTAGTGTTAAATTCTGAAAGTGCATTTATTTTTTTACGCACTGCTTAATAATTTGTTTCGAAGGCTCTGACCTGCACCAGGCTGTTATGCTACTGACGGATTTTGTATACTCTTGTAAAAAACTTTTATTTTTTGCATTCCATTGGTTCTGTAAAACAAGAAGTTATAACTGAGAACCACTAAAAATAATTGTTCCACTGATTAAAATTTAACATTTTTAGAATATAATTATTGGGCATGTATACTACTTGTAAACTTTGTTCTTCAAAATAATTCCAATGCTCTTCTATTAACTTTTCTAAAAAAAAAAAAAATCGTATATTTAAGTTATTTTTATTTCTGAAGTATTTTGTAAATTACTTATAAGTGTTTTCTTAGGAGGATGAATCTCGTCGTAAAGATGATTTAAATGACAACGAATCTGACAGAGATGAGGATGAATCTGATGACGATGACTTTGAAGAAGACAGACGAGATAAAGGTAAATGTTGTAGTTTATTACTTAAGCAAAACGTTTCTGTTATAAAACCTGCTATAATTTTGTAGCTAACTACTACTAAAGTTAGTGATAATTACAGAGCTTTTAATTAAGCTTTTTTTTTAGTTTTGGGTGTTTCTGAACCAATAGTAACAAAAAAATTTATTGATATTTTGAAGATGAAAAGCATTGTGTTGGTTAAATAATTTTTTAATAATTGTATAAAACTTTTATAAATACTAATGCTGTAATTATGTAACTTAATCTCTTTTTTTTTTGCTTAAAGATGCACTGAGTAATTAATTCACATCCTTTTTATGAAAATAAAAAAAAAATATTATTTTCAAGAATGGGAAAATTATTTAAGCAATATTTTCTAAATATTACTGTTGAAAGTTTTAGAATCGATATTTTGCATTAAATTTAGCATGTAAAAGAACTATAACTATTAATTTAATTTAATTTTATTTATTATTGTCACACATTTATTAAATTACATTAAGTAAAGGAAAAATTTCACCTGGTGTTTAATTATAATTTCAATTTTGTGATATCACACACAATCAAAATGTATTATTCAAAATTTTTTGCTTTTGAAAAAGTTTTATAATTTCAATGAATTCATTCAACATGAATGATAATTAAATTTTTTTATAACATTATCTAATAACATTATATTTTATTTAGTTGCTATTAAGAGAAATCCATTCTGTCATGTGTAGTACAGCTGTTCTATGTAACTTCAAATAAATATTTCTTAAACAAAAAATTATTTAAATTTCACTGAAGAATAAGGAAATTAAGAAAAGTTAGTAACTTCATCTAAGTGCAGTTGATTAGTTGATCAAAATAAAGTTTTATGGCTTAAAGTTGATCTTAAAAAGACAGTTTCAACTGCACACCGTGAGTATCTCAGAATATCAATGTTTGCCATTCAACAGAAGCAAATTTCTTAACTGCTTGAAATTCAATTAATTTTATCCTTTAACTGTTAAATGTCATTGGTCTTAGTATCAGAATTTTTTAATATTTTTTTTATGTTTTGATCTCACTTTTCGTGGAATAATGTTGTAATAATAAAAGCAAAGGATGAAATATCAATAGAAATAATTAAATCCATCACAATCATTTTGCGAAATCAATTGTGATAGATTTAATTATTTCCAGCAATATTTTATTTTTAAAAAATTTTATAAGTTAAAAATAAGCAATTTCAAATTGAAGATGAAAGTGATGAATTTAGTTGATTTTGAAGAATGCCTAAAGAATATTCATAATTTTAACCTGTTAATTTGTAATTGCTCGTAATTATAAACCATTATCTCAAGACTATTCACCAAAATTCTGTAAAGCTTAGCTAATTTTTCATTATTTTGTTTACAGATAGAAAAAAGCGTCGTAAAAAGAAGGTTCAGATGTATACACATGATCCAAACTTATTACTTTCGTTTGTTTACTTTGACCAAACCCACTGTGGATTTTTATTAGAAAAAGATGTTGAAGAAATATTTTTTACTCTAGGCCTAATGTTATCACGAGCTCAGGTAAGTTTAGATTTATAATAAAAGGTCTACTTTAATTGTAAAGCATGGTTATTTTATTGCTTCAGTTTAGATCCCTTGAAATGGTAATGAATGATTTTAGAAATGTTGTCAATTTTTCAGGTCCGGAAGTTGATACAGAAAGTCTGTAAACGGGAAATGTTTTGTTATCGAAAGCTAACTGATCGCCCACTCGATGGAGAAAAGGTTATTAAAACAGATTCTCAGAAGATTAATCTTGAAGATTTAGCAGCTGGTAATTATTTAACTCCTTTAAATTTTTGATGTTTTAACTGTTTCTCGTTTACTAGAATTTTATTATTGCTAAATAGTGCAGTTAGACTGAATTGCAAACAATTATGTAATTATTAATTTTAAATATTCTAATAGTTTATTATTAAAATTCTGCTTGGTTAAAAGTTCTACTCTATGTATTTTTTTTAAAAACTTTTATATTATTCTACGATTAGTTTTATAAAATTTATAATAAATTAGCTATTACTCTGCTTGTTTTTGTTAAGTATGAGAAGTTTTAAATTTTTGAAAAAAGTACTTGTGGTATTGTTATTTTCTGATCAAATATAATTCTAAATGAATGAGCTGACTCATTCTCTTTATCTTTGTTGTTAATTCTTATTATAAAATAAAAATTATTTGACTAATTAAAAAATTGTATAAACTGAAGCATGATTTTTCTGGACAAAAATCTTTAATGTACTCTTGTGTAGGTTAAAATTTCCCATGTTTTATCATGTTATTTCAATTCAGTTATATGATAACAAATTTGTGTCTACTAATAATATTGTATAAAATTATAAATAGAAAAAATAAACATAAGCAAAATGCTTTTAATTTTATTTGCATTTTCTTCAATTTTTTTTCTACATATGTTTTGATTCCTCTTAACTACATTTGTGACAGAATTTAAATATTTACTATTTTATAAAGGTATTTTTTTATTTTTGTTTGATACTTTAGTTTGCAAAATTTTAAATTTTGCAAATGTGTGCATTTGTGATAGAATTTTGCAATTAGTGATAGAATTGAAATATTTACTATTTTATAAAGGTATTTTTTTTATTTTTGTTTGATACTTTAGTTTGCAAAATTTAAAATTTTGTTCTTATATTTTCATTTTAAATGAGTAAGTGTTTTGAAAGAATATCAAAATTTGATTGAAATTTTTTTGACTTTTTAAATTTTTTTTATAAAGAAGTGAAGTGAAAGTATGTGTCTAAATCTTTAAATTATCTGATTGTTTTATATACTTTTGATTTTAAACTTTTTGTTATAATTCATAAATTATAAAATTTTTCATGAACATTTGCACATAAAATAATCTCAACTTAGAAACAAAAAATTAAAATTTTTATTGCAGGGATGAGATTCTTCCGCGGATTCGCGGATTTCCGCTTTTTTTCAGATTTTTCCATTTTTCCCGCTGATTTCCGCGGAAATTTTTTTTGCACAAGTTAAAATATTTTATGAAGAATTTAATTTTCCGCGAAGTGAAAGTATTGAAGTCCTCATTCCTCCCACTGAAGTTTCTCTAAAAATCATTTCCCTGGAGTAAAACTGATTTAACCTTCATAAAACACCCCCATAGTATCCTCAGTACCAGGGCTCGAAAAACCGCCCGTCCTCGGCGGTCAAAAATTCCCCTCGGACAACAAATTTCTCGAATCCAGCGTCCGCGCGGACGGCCATTTTCCCGCTAATTTTCGTGATTCATTTTCAAATTTCGTTATCTTACAAGAGTCTAGCGCCTTACTTCTAAAATGACCCTCTAATCTCGAAATACAGCAACATCAGGGGTCTGTCCAGACATTTTGTGAAAGGTCCGTTTTTCGTGAAATTGTGAAAAAATTACTCACATTCTTCCGTTTTTATGAATTTGTGCAAATAGGGTCCGTTATTACAAAAAAAAATTTTTTCAAGGAGTTTTTAAATTGTATAGACATACAAGATTATGCACAACACTGTAAAATTGTAATTAAAAAAATTAAATTTTAAAAAATAAAAAATAAATAGCAATTGCTGCTTCTAAATTAGAGATGCAACATACAAATATTTGGTATTTAGCCTATACTGCTGAACGCAGAATATTCATTTCGGACGAATAATGGAAGAATCGTCTGCCGAAGACAAAACTTAATTCGTTTACATCCATCTTTCTTGTTTTCTGCCCTGGAAAGGGTTTATTCGATTAACAAAATAATAATGAAGATAAACAAATT